CCTCCTTTTGTTTCTGTCTGTTTGTTTTATAGATAAAGAGTTTAACAATCTTTCTTTTTTTTTTTTTTTGAACATGTGTGCCCCTCTTTTTCCCCCATAGAAAGTACTCCTGCCTCAGTTTTTCTGTGTTAAGCTTTTATTCTTTCTTACCAGATAAAGAGCTAAAAGAGACGTTACAGCCCTTTAACTCTCATTATCCGTTACATAGAAAGTATGAATCTGGTTCTGCTGGACGTATCCTTCGGGTTAAAGAAACTCTTCCCTTGTTTTCATTGTTTTTGCAACATTTATGCTTCAGATGCAGATTAAAAGCATGAACTTTTGGCATTTTTTATGATCAGCTGAATTCGACTGTGTTGAACTGCTGATAGATAAAAGTGAATGTATGTGAAATTTACAATATTAAATCGTTTTAAGTAACCAGTTTCATTTGAAATGCATTATGAAATAATGCATATGACAATATATCAAAAGGATATTTTTCTTTTTTAAACACCTTGATATTTGGGGTAAAAGAAAACAATCGATTTTGTAAAATATCACAATGTCTTCTCAGGCAATATTTGTCATTACAAAAAAAACAATATTGTAATATTTCACGAGACGATATTGATATTGATTTAAAATATGGGTGAATGTAGGACGGAGTATTAGGGCAAGGCTAGAGATTTTTTTTTTTTTTTTCGAGAATAAAGTCGTTATTTTATGAGAATAATGTAATAAAATCATGAAAATAAAATCGCAACCAGAGTAGTCATAAAATTCCAAAAATAAAGTCGTAATATTATAAGAATAAAGTCATAAAATTATTAGAATAAAGTTGCAACAAGAATAGCCATCAAATTTTGAGAATAAGTCATAGAATTACGACAATCATGGGGTAACATAATGCGCAAAAAGTCATAAAATTACCAGAATAAAGTCGTAATATGAGAATAATGTCATAAAATTATTAGAATAAAGTCGCAACATTACCAGAATAAAGTCGTAACATAACGAGAACAGTGTCGTAACGAGAATAGTCATAAAATTATGAGAATAAAGTCGCAACATTACCAGAATAATGTTGAAATATTATGAGAATAAAGTCGCAACAAGAATAGTCATAAAATTATGAGAATAAAGTCGCAAAATTACCAGAATAAAGTTGTAATATTATGAGAATAAAGTCATAAAATTACGAAAGTAAAGTCATAACATAACGAGAATAAAGTCGTAACGAGAAAAGTCATAAAAGTATGAGAATAGAGTCATAAAATTACGATAATAAAGTCGTAAAATTACCAGAAAAAAGTCGTAATATTAGGAGAATAAAGTCATAAAATTAACGAAAATAAAGTAATAAAATTATGAGAATAAAGTCGCAAAATTACCAGAATAAAGTTGTAATATTATGAGAATAAAGTCATAAAGTTACGAAAGTAAAGTCGTAACATAACGAGAATAAAGTCGTAATGAGAAAAGTCATAAAAGTATGAGAATAAAGTCATAAAATTATGAGAATAAAGTCGCAACATTACCAGAATAAAGTTGTAATATTATGAGAATAAAGTCATAAAATTACGAAAGTAAAGTCATAACATAACGAGAATAAAGTCGTAACGAGAAAAGTCATAAAAGTATGAGAATAAAGTCATAAAATTACGAGAATAAAGTCGTAAAATTACCAGAAAAAAGTCGTAATATTAGGAGAATAAAGTCATAAAATTAACGAGAATAAAGTCATAAAATTATGAGAATAAAGTCGCAAAATTACCAGAATAAAGTTGTAATATTATGAGAATAAAGTCATAAAGTTACGAAAGTAAAGTCGTAACATAACGAGAATAAAGTCGTAACGAGAAAAGTCATAAAAGTATGAGAATAAAGTCATAAAATTATGAGAATAAAGTCGCAACATTACCAGAATAAAGTTGTAATATTATGAGAATAAAGTCATAAAATTACGAAAGTAAAGTCATAACATAACGAGAATAAAGTCGTAACGAGAAAAGTCATAAAAGTATGAGAATAAAGTCATAAAATTACGAGAATAAAGTCGTAAAATTACCAGAAAAAAGTCGTAATATTAGGAGAATAAAGTCATAAAATTAACGAGAATAAAGTCATAAAATTATGAGAATAAAGTCGCAAAATTACCAGAATAAAGTTGTTATATTATAAGAATAAAGTCATAAAATTACGAAAGTAAAGTCGTAACATAACGAGAATAAAGTCGTAATGAGAAAAGTCATAAAAGTATGAGAATAAAGTCATAAGATTATGAGAATAAAGTCGCAACATTACCAGAATAAAGTTGTAATATTATGAGAATAAAGTCATAAAATTACGAAAGTCATAACATAACGAGAATAAAGTTGTAACGAGAAAAGTCATAAAAGTATGAGAATAAAGTCATAAGATTATGAGAATAAAGTCGCAACATTACCAGAATAAAGTTGTAATATTATGAGAATAAAGTCATAAAATTACGAAAGTCGTAACATAACGAGAATAAAGTCGTAACGAGAAAAGTCATAAAAGTATGAGAATAAAGTCATAAAATTATGAGAATAAAGTCGCAACATTACCAGAATAAAGTTGTAATATTATGAGAATAAAGTCATAAAATTACGAAAGTAAAGTCATAACATAACGAGAATAAAGTCGTAACGAGAAAAGTCATAAAAGTATGAGAATAAAGTCATAAAATTACGAGAATAAAGTCGTAAAATTACCAGAAAAAAGTCGTAATATTAGGAGAATAAAGTCATAAAATTAACGAGAATAAAGTCATAAAATTATGAGAATAAAGTCGCAAAATTACCAGAATAAAGTTGTAATATTATGAGAATAAAGTCATAAAGTTACGAAAGTAAAGTCGTAACATAACGAGAATAAAGTCGTAACGAGAAAAGTCATAAAAGTATGAGAATAAAGTCATAAAATTATGAGAATAAAGTCGCAACATTACCAGAATAAAGTTGTAATATTATGAGAATAAAGTCATAAAATTACGAAAGTAAAGTCATAACATAACGAGAATAAAGTCGTAACGAGAAAAGTCATAAAAGTATGAGAATAAAGTCATAAAATTACGAGAATAAAGTCGTAAAATTACCAGAAAAAAGTCGTAATATTAGGAGAATAAAGTCATAAAATTAACGAGAATAAAGTCATAAAATTATGAGAATAAAGTCGCAAAATTACCAGAATAAAGTTGTAATATTATGAGAATAAAGTCATAAAGTTACGAAAGTAAAGTCGTAACATAACGAGAATAAAGTCGTAACGAGAAAAGTCATAAAAGTATGAGAATAAAGTCATAAAATTATGAGAATAAAGTCGCAACATTACCAGAATAAAGTTGTAATATTATGAGAATAAAGTCATAAAATTACGAAAGTAAAGTCATAACATAACGAGAATAAAGTCGTAACGAGAAAAGTCATAAAAGTATGAGAATAAAGTCATAAAATTACGAGAATAAAGTCGTAAAATTACCAGAAAAAAGTCGTAATATTAGGAGAATAAAGTCATAAAATTAACGAGAATAAAGTCATAAAATTATGAGAATAAAGTCGCAAAATTACCAGAATAAAGTTGTTATATTATGAGAATAAAGTCATAAAATTACGAAAGTAAAGTCGTAACATAACGAGAATAAAGTCGTAACGAGAAAAGTCATAAAAGTATGAGAATAAAGTCATAAGATTATGAGAATAAAGTCGCAACATTACCAGAATAAAGTTGTAATATTATGAGAATAAAGTCATAAAATTACGAAAGTCATAACATAACGAGAATAAAGTTGTAACGAGAATAGTCATAAAAGTATGAGAATAAAGTCGTAAAATTACCAGAAAAAAGTCGTAATATTAGGAGAATAAAGTCATAAAATTAACGAGAATAAAGTCATAAAATTATGAGAATAAAGTCGCAAAATTACCAGAATAAAGTTGTTATATTATGAGAATAAAGTCATAAAATTACGAAAGTAAAGTCGTAACATAACGAGAATAAAGTCGTAACGAGAAAAGTCATAAAAGTATGAGAATAAAGTCATAAGATTATGAGAATAAAGTCGCAACATTACCAGAATAAAGTTGTAATATTATGAGAATAAAGTCATAAAATTACGAAAGTCATAACATAACGAGAATAAAGTTGTAACGAGAATAGTCATAAAAGTATGAGAATAAAGTCGTAAAATTACCAGAAAAAAGTCGTAATATTAGGAGAATAAAGTCATAAAATTTACAAGAATAAAGTCATAAAATTATGAAAGTAAACTCTTATAATTACCAGAATAAAGTAATAAAATTATGAGAATAAAGTCGTAAAAATTCGAGACATAACGAGAATAAAGTTGTATTTTATGATAAAAAATTTCCCCTAAAGTGAGGAATGTGGAGCATCATGTGAAGTTATACTTTAGCATCGGTTTGATAAATAAGGAAATCTTTTAGCAGCAGCATCAAACTGGGCAGGATGTCAAAGTGGACTCAGGTTTCTGATTGGTGGAGCTGGTCGGCCTTCATCTGCTGGGCGGAGCTCCAAGCTTTCTAGCTGCATTATTTTTTTACTTTATTCTCACAATATTATTACTTTATTCTTGTAATATTACAAATTTATTTTCGAAATAAAAAGGAAAACAAATCTCTAGCCTGGCCCTAATACTCCGTCGTATGAATAGAAATGAATTGAAAAAAAATTAAAGGCAGACATGTATTTCATTGTCCTACTTTTATTTAACTCGCCACTAGTTGGCAGCACACAACCCATGAGCCCATGATTCAGCTGTTCTGCATAGCCTGCAGCAGAACAATAAAGCATCAGAGCAAAAAAAACTAGCTCTGATCAGGCTTTCTAGAGATTTATTATCTAAAAAATTCACAATATATTGTCTTTGTTAATGCATTGGGCCACACTTGGATAAATCGTAGTGTTACACATGTATCGTGATGCGTATCGTATCAACAAAATAAATTGATCTAAATCGGTTTCCGTCTTGATTTTAGACCTCGACCACCATCTACGTGCGAATTGTTGACGAGAACGACAACGCCCCAGAGTTTCCTGAGGAGGAGTACGTCACAGTGCTGAGCGAAGGACCTGACACCGTGGGGGCCACCATCGCCACGGTAACAGCCATTGACCCTGACGAAGGTCTTAACGGGACCCTGAGGTATGCAATCGCCCAGGGCAACGTGATCCAGACGTTCAACATCAACAGCGTCACGGTGAGGCAACTAAAACCTGCAGCAGGTAGAGGGGACGACAGCTGATGACAACATGTGGGTGTCATGTGTGTTTTCAGGGCAGAATAACTGCTGTGAAGGAGCTGGACTATGAAATCAGCAGTGGGCATTATGCATTGGTTGTCACAGCTACTGACCAGTGTCCAAATCCTGCTCTGCGCCTGACATCCAGCACAACGGTCTTTCTTTATGCTGGTTTTCCGAAATCATCCAAAATTTCATCCTACATCTTACATTCTTTAATGGAGGTCTGTCTCCTTCCTGCTTTCAGGTGTCGGTAAAAGTCTTTGACATAAACGACGTGACGCCAACCTTCCCCAGAAGTTACGAGGGTCCCTTTGAGGTGACGGAGGGCCAGCCGGGTCCACGGGTGTGGACCCTCAGAGCAAGGGATGAAGACTCTGGTCTTAATGGCAAAGTGGAGTACAGCATCAGTTGTGGAGATAACCAGAGTTAGTGTCAGCTTGTTGTCTCTCTCACTATACCTGCAATGGAAGAGTGTCACTTTTCAGCTCTGGGTTTTCTCTTCCTTACTCTCAGATGAGTTCATGATTTCCCCTGTGGAGGGTGAGCTTCGGGTGAGGAGGGACGTGGAGCTGGACAGAGAGACCACAGCTTTCTACAACATCACTGTAACCGCACGGGACCTGGGAATGCCGCCGCGCAACAGCTCGGTGAGCAGATTGACGTCAACGCCGTTAAACGCAAGCAGACACACTTTTATCATCATATCCTCTTTCACATATGGGAACTTGGAAGCTTCACTTCTGCATTTTTTTTATTTAACATTCATAGAAGCAGAACAATAGTCACACAAATTTGAAACACCTTATATATTGGATATACAAGTAAAAATATTTGTAATGTAGAAAATATTAGTATTTCAAAACTGCTTCCATGGTTAATGGAGGACATGTCCTGAATTGTTAAACTAATTGTGTAAGATTGTACTATTAAGAAAAAGTGCAATAACCTGGTTGCAGAAGTGTACACACCCTTTTAAAGTAATGCATTGTTAATCCACTTGCTTTAATTACAGTTTTTTCTAATTGCTTAAGAACATTTTTTGTAACTATTGGCTATTTTTGCAAAACTCTACACACAAATAAGAAAACCTTTCACCCAATTATCAAAACATTGCAGTTCTCTTGCAAAAGCGAACACAGCTAGATTAACTTTTCACACCTTTGTAAAAATGGTGTTTTGGTATCAAACAGTAAACACAAGCCATCATCTACTAAGCACACAATGTGCCAACTACACACTGATGGTATGAATACAAAACACATCTGGCTTTCTCTTTCTCTGTGTACAGATGTCAATTTGAGGGCATACTTTTGTCATAGTGTCATGTAAACATACAAGGATCCAAATTTCAAGTATTGCTGTTTATTCACACTCATCAAAACCAAGACAAAGTCAGAACACAAAGGGCCGGATTTATCAAGATCCAATTTTGCGTGCAGTAATTTGTGCTCGCAAACTGGAATTTTGCGCGAGGGGCTGAACCATGGTTTGCGTGTGATTTAACAAGAGTGATTGCGTAACTGGTGGCAGGTGCAAAACTGTTGGAGACGCCCTATTTAAATGATGGTTTTGCGCGTTTTGTGGTTTGCGGCAAAGTAGTTTGTAGTTTGTACAAACTAGTGCATTAAGAAATTTAAATCTTACAGTGACCCCCCAAAAAAAAAAAAAATATATATATATATATATATATATATATAAAGAAAAAACTTTAGCAAACTTTATTCCCTAAGGTGGTATGTGGCTGAATTTCTACTTCACTGCAGTAAAAAAAACAAAAAAAAAAAAACAGGTGTTTTGTATTGGCCTGTAGAAAAATGCACATACAAAATGGCTCACAAGAAGTGATTGTGGATGAGATTACTGCGCGTACGCATCCCCGCAGCATTGGCACGTTGCTCCGCAGGCGCAGGGGGAGAACCCCGACCCCGTCGGACAGCACTTCTGAAAAAATGAGATTGGGAGATCCCAGCTCTCGCTGCAACCGTACGCTGGAATGACCCAGATGCAAAAAAGTGTAACGTTGCAAGGAGTTTTGTGATATCTGGTATTGCGTGGGTCCTCCTTGTGGCTGGCTCCAAATCCATTCGGAGTTCCCCCAACAGCTCCAAAATGGCAATGCTGGATAAATGATATGTTTTGATGATCGTTTCCTCCTTCATTGCAAAAATATTCACAGGGAGTGAAAAAATGCGTTCTCTGCGTCTCCTTGCTTCATTTCGATGTCTCCTTCTTGCAACAATAACCGCTGCCATGTGTGCGCAATTACGCATACAGACCATTTGCACCTTCTTTTGAAACGTGTTAAATATAGAGTCAGATACCGTTAGCAAAATTGCTTTCAGGTTTGATAAATCACTTTGCGAGTGCTAAATTAATATATTTACATGTTCTCCTCCCACAAGACGCACTTTTGCGTGTAAACGCCCCTTTTTGCATATTCATTGCAGAAAAAGTACTAAATGGATAAGAGGCGCTATTTAGCACGTTTTAAAGACCAAATCCTTTTAGCACGCTGTTGATAGATCAGTTTGTACATTTTTTAGCGTGCGCAGTGAAATAGCTCACGTTTTTATACACGCAAACCTTTGATAGATCCGGCCCAAAATAATAATTTCACAAAAGACAAAAACACAATCAGCCTACATCATGTCGTCTTTCTGGGTCCGGCCACAAAATTTCGTCCACATCTTATGCGATACCCTCCAGTCCAAGGCACCGGGGAAAATATCTCTGTGAATGCCGTATCCAGGCCTGACATGACGCCTGGTCAATATCTCCACATGCCTCCTCCATTGCTTGTAAAAGGGCTACCTGTTGATGAGGATGGAGGGAGGATGAGTGCCATGAAGAATGGATGGTCTGTAAACCAGTTGCAGACCAAAGCAACCCTATGGAAACTAATATTGTCCCATATGATGAAATATCGGGTATGCTCTGATCTATGAACAGTGAGCATGTCATGTAAGGTGTTCGGGAATGCAATAATGTGTGCAGTGTTGTATGGGCCTATGGTTGCATGATGGTGAACAACACCATTTTGGCTTATAGCTGCACACATGGTTATGTTACCACCACGTTGTCCTGGGACATTGATGATGGAACGGTGTCCAATAATGTTCCTGCCACATCTTCTGGTTTTACTGGGGTTAAACCCAGCTTCATCTACAAAAAGTAGATCATGTCCCATAGCATCTGCTTCTAGTTCCATCACTCTCTGAACAAGAGAAAACAAATGCATCTCATCAGGCCCATGCACAGCACTACAGTATGCACTTCCAAATTCAGAACCAACGACCTTACCTGCACATAGTCATATCGCAGTTGCTTTACACGTTCTGTGTTCATCTCGAAAGGAACTCTGTAAATTTGCTTCATTCTTATTCTGTGGCAAGCAAGTACACGACTGTATATACACTATATTGCCAAAAGTATTTGCTCACCTGCCTTGACTCACATATGAGCTTAAGTGACATCCCGTTCCTAATCCATAGGGTTCAATATGACGTCGGTCCACCCTTTGCAGCTAGAACAGCTTCAACTCTTCTGGGAAGGCTGTCCACAAGGTTTAGGAGTGTGTTTATGGGAATTTTTGACCATTCTTCCAGAAGCGCATTTGTGAGGTCGCACACTGATGTTGGACGAGAAGGCCTGGCTCTCAGTCTCCGCTCTAATTCATCCCAAAGGTGTTCTATCGGGTTGAGGTCAGGACTCTGTGCAGGCCAGTCAAGTTCATCCACACCAGACTCTGTCATCCATGTCTTTATGGACCTTGCTTTGTGCACTGATGCACAGTCATGTTGGAAGAGGAAGGGGCCAGCTCCAAACTGTTCCCACAAAGTTGGGAGCATGGAATTGTCCAAAATGTCTTGGTATGCTGAAGCATTCAGAGTTCCTTTCACTGGAACTAAGGGGCCAAGCCCAGCTCCTGAAAAACAACCCCACACCATAATCCCCCCTCCACCAAACTTTACACTTGGCACAATGCAGTCAGACAAGTACCGTTCTCCTGGCAACCGCCAAACCCAGACCCGTCCATCAGATTGCCAGATGGAGAAGCGCGATTCGTCACTCCAGAGAACGCGTCTCCACTGCTCTAGAGTCCAGTGGCGGCGTGCTTTACACCACCGCATCCGACGCTTTGCATTGCACTTGGTGATGTATGGCTTGGATGCAGCTGCTCGACCATGGAAACCCATTCCATGAAGCTCTCTGCGCACTGTTCTTGAGCTAATCTGAAGGCCACATGAAGTTTGGAGGTCTGTAGTGATTGACTCTGCAGAAAGTTGGCGACCTCTTCGCACTATGCGCGTCAGCATCCGCTGACCCCGCTCCGTCAGTTTACGTGGCCTACCACTTCGTGGCTGAGTTGCTGTCGTTCCCAAACACTTCCATTTTCTTATAATACAGCTGACAGTTGACTGTGGAATATTTAGGAGCGAGGAAATTTCACGACTGGATTTGTTGCACAGGTGGCATCCTATCACAGTTCCACGCTGGAATTCACTGAGCTCCTGAGAGCGACCCATTCTTTCACAAATGTTTGTAAAAACAGTCTGCATGCCTAGGTGCTTGAATTTATACACCTGTGGCCATGGAAGTGATTGGAACACCTGATTCCAATAATTTGGATGGGTGAGCAAATACTTTTGGCAATATAGTGTATTTTGAAAGATGGTATCATTATCAGTTATGCGCTGCTGTATTTCGGCCAGTCTTATTGCATTATTGGCAATCACCATGTTCACTATATGGGTCTCTTGCTCTGGAGTGAACATTCTTCCTCTGCCACCAACATCTGGCCGTCTAGCAATTCTGTAAAGTTACAATTTCTGTATTTTTGCATATATGGTACTGTTGTGTTTCTCATTATAGTATGGCGGTGCTACAAAGTACTTACCGATTCTCATTTCGAAATGTCCTAACGATGCTTGCCACAGTGTAGCGGCTCAAATTAGGCCGAACCCGTTGGCCAGCTTCCCTCAGGGTCATCCCATGGTTGATGACATGGTCCACTATTGTAGCTCTGATGGCATCAGTTGTTCTATTTCTTACTCTTCTTTCCCTTCCTCTTTCCTCTTCTTGCTCCTCCTTGTCCTCTTCGTCTAACTTCCTCTAACACTCTTGCTTCTTCAACTCCACGTCCTCTCCCTCGGCCTCCTCTAAATCTCACTCTTCTCACTCTTACTGCTCCATCCATTGTACTCCACACAGACAGCTTACCTGTGGCTTATTTATAGTGCTTAGGCTGACTGCAAAGTGAACTAATTAACTAAAACAGTTTTCACATGTGAAAGTGTGCCAGACAGTTGGCAAAATAGTGTTAATGAGAGCTATACATTTGTATAATTTTGGTAGGAGTGTGTTGGAAATTTGGTAATAGAGTGTTGTGCAGTGAATTGTGCCTACAGTTTTGCAAAATGTGCGTTAAAAAATTGCAAACTGAGTGCAATGCAGTGTTTGTGCTTTTAGTTTTGCAAACTCAGTGAGTGGTTTTGCTATAGGTATTAATAGTTTTAGAAATTGTGCTACAAGAATCCCGATTAGTGCTTAAGCATTCAGAAAAAACTGTAAATCGGTGTTCTGTCAGACCAACATACCTATAGTCAATCCGGGTTTATCCTTTTACACTGGAAAAATGATCTAGAAATAAGTAAAAATATCCTAAATTAAGTGTATTTCGCCTTAATTTGAGTAGGTAAATAGGATAGTTTGCCAATGGAATAGTAATTTTACTCTTAAAATAATATCATTAGATAACATGCTCTTGAAACAACAACGTAATTGTGTTTTCTTATTTTAAGTGTAACTTGTCTTGTTCCATTGGCAAAGTGGTTTTTTTAACCTCCTCAATCCAAGAACAAATGTACACAAGAGGATTAGGGCCACTGAAAAACAACAAGTTAATGATTTTTAAATTTTATTTCAGTTTAACATGGGAAAAAAGTCAGAATTCTGACTTTTTTTCTCGGAATTCTGACTTTAATCTCAGAATTCTGACTTTTTTATTGTCAGAATTCAGTCAGAATTCTGAGATTAAAGTCAGAATTCTAAGAAAAAAGTCAGAATTCTGAGAAAAAAGTCTGAATTCTGAGATTAAAGTCAGAATTTTGATTTAAAAAAGTCAGAATTCTGAGAAAAAAAGTCAGAATTCTGACTTTTTTCCCATACTAAACTGAAATAAAATTTAAAAATCAGTTAACTTTTTTTTTTTTTTTCCACTGGCCCTAACCCTCTTCCGTACAAATGCACTTATTTTAAGAAAAAATTACTTATGTAGATTTTGAGTTTTTCCAGTGTAGGTTATCCCTTTAGTTTTTCACTTTAATTTTGTATGAAAAATAAACTTTAAACCACATCCAGGGCATGTATCCCTTTAGTCATGTACAAAAAAAATGTAATTACTTACTTTTTGGTGTTTTTTTAAAGCATATGGCGATCTGACCTCAAACTGTTTTTTTTTTGTACATGAGATAGTTTAAACACTGGGAAAATGATCTAGAAATAATTAAAAATGTCTTCAATTAAGTGTATTTACCCTTAATTTGAGCAGGTAGTTTGCCAACGGAATGAGAATTTTTACTCTTAGGATAAGATAATTGGATAAAATACACTTGAAATAAGACAATGCAACTGTGTTTTCTTATTTTAGGTGTAAATTGTCTTGCTCCATCAGCAAGATCTCTATTTTACCTCCTCAATCCGACAACAAATACACTTATTTTAAGAAAAAATTACTTATCTAGATTTCCATTTTCTCTCGTGTCTATTTTTGTACAAAACTAAAGAGATATTCGCAAATCTGACATCTTGTACATGCTTTTGACTATGGGTATGTTGGTCTGATGAGGTATGCTCATCTGACAGAACAACGGCATTCAGTATTTTTTATGTTACCCATGTACATACAGTTAGAATGAACCTGATGTACCTGTAGTTGTCCTGTTAGGATTTTCCTCACATTTACATCCTTGGAAAAGATGCCATAGTTGAGTTTCAAAATGTTAAAATAATCTATTTTTATGAAGAGATTATACCTTTTTATGAAGGTATAATCCAGAAAATAAAGAAATATGCTGAAAAAGTGACAGGATTTTTAAACAGCTACAGGTCATATCGGCCATATTCTTTGTAGTGTCGTTTGTTAGAGCAGCAGCTTATCTATAGCTGAGGGGAAATGGTTAGATAAGCTCATCAGGAAGGCCAGCGCTGTACTGCACCCTTGGCCTAATACAGCTGATTGCAGAGAGCCAGCAGAAATAATATTACTGTTGGACAATGTCTCCCACCCCCAGGCTGAAGCTAAAGAGCTCCTTCAGTAAAACACTTTACAATCTCCTCAGCTCTTCATATCCAGCAGCCGTTAGGCTTTTTAAACCATCACTGCTCCCAACAAACTCAGGAATTTGTCTAGATTTCTGCTTTTTCCTGTTGCTGTTTTGATGCACAACTGTTACAAGCACATTTCGTACATTTTTATTTAATCCTTTCATTGGCGTGAGGATGCTGTTTGTTCATAACCATAAAGCGGTTTTTGTTTCCTCTGTTGTGAACTTTTCCCCTGCTGCTAAAAAAAACAACCTGTTTTTCCCTCTGTGGGACGATAAACCATCAATCTAAGCTTTTCTGTTCTGCTTTCTGTATATGATAGCAATCTCATGTACTCTCTTTAATCCTGATGTACGGTGTAGGTTTGCAACATGGATCACTTTCATCCTGAGAAATGATCCACGTCATGCCAGAGATAGAGTTAGGGTCTGATAGAGCTGAAAAAAAAGCAACAAACAGAGAAAAAAAACATGGCGGTGATGGGATTTGGGTATTTTTTATCGAACATTGTTTATCAAACAGTTATAAATGGCAAATATAAAATCCATGTTGATGCTGAATGTTCAGGTGACTAAAAGCTGAAGGTGAGGTAGAGGTTTAGTTATTTAGCATCGCAATTATTCCAGTTAGGAATCATATATCAACCTGATGAGGATTTCTGAAGAATAGAATTAAAGTTTAGTGTCACGGGAACAGATGGACCCAGTATTCAAGGAGAGACAGTCAGTAGGAAAGTTCAAAAAGGTTTATTAAATTAGCAAAAACTAAAGTGGAGCAGTGGCTCGCGGACACTGCAGGATGGAGAGCGGGGCACCGCCCAATCACAGAACTCTGCAGGAGAAACACAGGTAAGTGACCACGATCATCTGACAGAAGATGATTATCTGAGTTGGCCACTTACCTGGTTTAACAGTCCAGACCAAGAATGTCCCCAAGAGCTGCAGTCCCAGAGGACATGCTGGAAGCCGATCCTGGTCAGGGATCCAGAACAGACAGGAACAGGATCCAGATCAGGCAGGAACAGAAACAGGAGGCAGGATCCAGACTTCCAGGCATCCACAGGGTCCAAAATCGTGACCAGGTGGTCACGCACACGAGCAGACAGGATCAGGTGCCAATGAGCAGACTCAGTGGAAGAGGGTAGCCGAGACGGGACGTGGCACCAGAACTTGATGCAGGACTTTAAACTGGTCTCCATCTTTGAGCCAGGCTAACTTGGATAAAAACTGAACCTCCCCGCATATAAAGCCAAAAACCCAGCGGACTCCGCAGGGGAGGAACAGTGGATGATTAGGAGACGAGACAAACACAAAACCCTCTTTCCACTGGCCGTCGGGATCCAGGACATGAACCAAGAAATAAAATGAACAGACAGGCTAACAGAAAAGCAGTGAATGATCTGGCCCTGAATGCTCAGGTGGAACTGAATATAAATCAGAGGAAACAGGTGAGAGGAATAAATGATAATTGAGGCAGGGAGGGAAAATGACAGGTGAAAGGAATGACTAATTAAGGGAGAGCAAACAGGCCAGATCATGACATTTAGGAAACACCAATTAAAATACAACTCTGTAGACAAAATATGTCATTATCAATTTGTAGAACTGTTCCAAGGCAAAGTAGATGATTTAGACATGTACTTGTTCCAAAAAAAAAAAAAAAAAAAATCCACTGGACTTTGTTTCCAAGCCTGAAGATGTTTTGCTTCCCATCCAGGAAGTTTTTTCCATTCAAAATGTTCGATAGACGGGTGTGGGGCATTGCAGGCTAACAAAAGAAGCCAAAGGAACCCCATTCCAAAGTCTGGAACTCAACGCTATTTCTGACATTTTGAATTGAAAAAGCTTCCTGGATGGGAAGTGAAACATCTTCAAATGTGGAAATAAAAATAATTAAAAAAATTGTGTTTTTTTTTTTTTTTTTTTTGGAATGACTATGACCTGGATGAATGAGAATCTTCACCAGCATGTGCAGCATGAACGTTTCCCTGTCCTCTGCTGTCCTCAGGTAGTGGTGGGCGTCTACGTTCTCGACATCAACGATAACGACCCAGTCATACTTAATTTGCCTCACAACACCAGTGTGAGCGAAGGTGCTTCAATCCACACCTCCGTGGCCAGAGTACGAGCCCAGGATGCCGACAGGGGACTCAACGCTCTCCTCACCTACAACATCACAGCTGGAAACCTGGGCGGAGCCTTCTACATCAACGACACGGTAAGCAAATCAAACAGTCAGCTTCATGCAGGAAGCTTGACATTTAATTTATCATAGATCAGTTTAATTTTATCCAGACTCAGAAGATCAGTTGTGTTGGTTTTTATCCCAACAGCTAAGCAAGGCAAGGCAAGGCAAGGCAAATGTATTTGCATAGCATAACTCAGTACAAAGACAATGCAAAGTGCTTTACATGATTAAAATACAGGAAGATAAAACAGAATCAATGCAAGTAGGAAAATAAATAAATAAAATAAAATAAAAAATGCAGAAACAAAAAAGAATATTAAAAACAGTTGGACTAAAGAAAATATGTTTTAGTTGAACTGTTTAACTAGAACAGTCGAAGGCAATCCTAAACAAATGTGTTTTTAGTCTTGATTTAAAGGAACTCAGGCTTTCTGCACTTTTACAGTTTTCTGGAAGTTTGTTCCAGATAAGTGGAGCATAGGAACTAAATGCTGCTTCTCCATGTTTAGTTCTGGTTCTAGGTATGCAGAGCAGGCTGGAGCCAGAAGACCTGAGTGGTCTGGAGGGTTGATACACTGATAGCAAGTCTGTGATGTATTTAGGGGCTAAGCCATTCAGAGATTTATAGACTAACAGAAGTATTTTAAAGTCTATTCTCTGAGATACAGGGAGCCAGTGGAAGGACTTTAGAACTGGGGTGATGTGCTCTACTTTCTTAGTCTTAGTGAGGACACGGGCAGCAGCATTCTGGATCAGCTGCAGCTGTCTGATCCACTTTTTAGGCAAACCTGTGAAAACACCGTTGCAGTAATCAATTCGACTAAAAATAAAGGCATGGATTAGTTTTTCCAGATCATGCTGAGACATTAGTCCTTTAATCCTGGAAATGTTCTTCAGGTGATAGAAAGCCAACCTTGTAATTGTCTTTAAATGCTTTTGGAGGTTCAAGTTGTTCAGAAACACCACCAATTGAGATACTAGAAAAAAGAAACATGCAACATCTTTAACAGCAGCTTACATTAGAAGAATGTGCAAAGATATTTCCTAATCCGCCCTATTTCTGTAACCACTTGTTAAAAGAACAGAAAGTTGCACTTGTTAGCAATCACTATTTCAACTGCTCTTACATAAACATGGAGATTTCCATGTCGCAGACTACTTGGTTTTTATACAATTACCCTGAAAGTTCCCATAATAGTCAGTTAAGCTCTTCCTGTAATCAGACACCTCAGACAAATAGAGCCTCTCAGCTGTTTGTAAAATAAAATCACTTTCTATGCATTGACGTAATTTTTTAGGGGGGACGTGTCACCTGCATTTTATCAAATTATGTTAGAATCTAGATAAGATCTCGTATTTATGAGATCTTTTCTGCATATTTGTTTATGATTACTTGAGCCAATAATGTAGCATCTCTCAGAAAGCTGCTCTTCATGATTACTTCTTACAAATATCTGCACCTTTTCCACTGAACAGTTCTCTGTACCGAGGTCTGACCTGGTAGGCGTTGGAGTTCCACCCGTTTTTCGCTTCATCAACAAAGAACGCAGCTATAACCCTGGGATTACTGCTAGTGGAGTGAGCATGCAGCCTTATGGCCAAATGTTAAAATCCGTCAACAGCTCCATTAAAACAGATTCCATATGTTTTTAGTTATTCATTTGAATCGGCATGCCACATAAAGTTGGGACCTCTTCATTTTAAATGATGCTGAAGCCTCAGCTGTACTCCTTGTGGATCTAGGATTTTAGACTTAGACTTAGACAGAATTTTATTGATTTCTTAGGAAGACTCCCTCCGGATATTAAGGTTACCAGCAGCTTACAGGGCAAAAAAGTATTAAGTTAAATTAAATTAAAATCAAGCAAAATAAAAATACAAATAAATATGGAGTTCACATTTAACAGAAAAAATAAAAAAGTACAAGTGTTGCTACTCCTTCCCTCTTCCCCCTGTCCTGTGTCGCCTCCTCGCCCCCAGTGAGGCGTTGTACAGTCTGATGGCGTTGGCGTTTTGAGAAGGTACCGGCGGGCAATTCTTTAAGTTAACGCCAAGCCAGCAGGAATGCATTTCAGATGCATTAATTTATTGATATAAATCATCCTGTGCTGGTTTAAATGCTTCTGCAGGAACAGTGTGACTTCCAGCAAGTCAGTAGTAGATTGGGCCTTTTTGTTTAAACAATCCTAAGAACTTAAGGTACCTGCACGATGCTGACAAACTAAAACTAATTCCATCCACATTGAGGAAACTCATTATTTTCCAGTGTGGCATACCTAAAAGGAAATAAAAGCATATTGATCTCACAACAAACTCACTGTTTACGTTTCATGTAGCGTAGCCCAGCAAGGACTATACTTCCTCATCCCCTAAATATAACATATCATCTTATAATTATGAGATCGGTGTCTCGTAATTATGAGAAATACCTTCCTCTCCAAATATATCTGCTAACTATAGCAGTCTACCTTTCTTTGAACGTATCCAATTCTAAATTATATTGTCTGAGCTTCCATTTTGCCCCTTTAACGGATGAATGTGCTTTAATCGAAACCAATCCATTGCAGTTTTTGCAGTATGTTAAAATCTATCTCCTGCTGGACATTGACACTCCTTAGTTTTTACCCTTCTACAAACCTCCAATGAAACCAGCTAGGATCCCCTGTCCCTGCGGAAAAAAACAATAACAAAAAAATAAGATTTGTAGCTTCTGTAGTGTAGACTGCGGCCCCCTAATTTCGTCTCTTTGGAAATGGAGCGATCACTCTCATAGACTTAGGCCGCGCTACACTGAGCGATATTTTCAATCCTTGCACGTAGCTACAGCTCACATTCTACGACGAAACTGCAGAGTTTAAAAGTTCACAGCTCACGATGTATATTATCACACAGTGTATTCTCATTATGGGTTCGTATGAAATCGTACGAAAAGTTATGCACCCTAATTTCGTACGTTTTGGACGTTTTTTTCGTCGTATGCGCATCTGACGTACCATTCAAGAACATAGAATTTAAAAAACAATTAACTCTAACCCTAAGATATAAAACAGCAAGCAACGTAGTTAGAGACATGAAGAAGTGATTATTGCACTGTTTTTCCCAGTTTTACGTCCGTCCGCGGATCTGCTTTTTTTTTCTGTCTGCCAGCGCATGCGCACTGATCTGGTTTTTTGAGGAAAAACGTCCAAAACGTACGAAATAATGTACATAACTTTTCGCACGACTTCATACGAACTGATAATGGGAATATGTTGTATCACACTGTGCGACCCGACGCTCTGATGCTACCTTACAACGCCCGACTGAATTTCAAACATGTTTGATTTTCTTCCAACCTTATGATTCCTGATCGGGAATTCCTGATGGGGATGAAAGTCAGGCCAATCGAAAAATTCTCGCACGGCTGGAAAATCAGCCCCAAAAGGACAAAAAATTGTAGAGTATATTCCCGGCTTTAAAGGAATAGTACACCCAAAACATGATTAGCCTTCATTTTCTACTCACCCCCATGCTGAACAACACTCTGGAGTACTTTTTTGATATCTCAAATGCATCTGGAGATCTGGGAGGCTTCTTGCTGTCTGTTGACATTCAAATAATGGAGGTCTATGGTGACCGAGGCAGAAAGGTCCATAAAAGTCCACAAAAAACGTGTCGATATTCCTCCATACTGCTCGTCCAATGTATTCCAAGTGTCCTGAGTGGGTAGCATCCAGAATTTACTCGAAACGAAGTCATTTAGAATGTTTTTAGAGCATAAACAGTAGTGTATAGGATTTCCTGAAAGCGCGCGCCTGCGAGTTCACGACGCTACGGAAACCGCGACAGACCAAACCAGATGAAAGTGCACATTCAGCTCGGCAAAGAACTCATGCTCTTCCTCAACACTGAAGTCCTCAGACATTTTTCTTTCGTTGTTTCTTTCTTTGCAAAGGTAAACAGCACATTTCTTCTTCTACGCTTGCATTATCGGCAGAGCAGACGCTGAATGCGCACTTTCATCTGGTTTGGTCTGCCGGCTTCCGTAGCGTTGTGAACGCGCAGGCGCGCGCTTTTAGGAAATCCTATACACTACTGTTTATGCTCTAAAAACATTCTAAATGACTTCATTTCGAGTAAATTATGGACGCTACCCACTCAGGACACCTAGAATACTTTGGACGAGCAGTATGGAGGAATATTGACACGTTTTTTGTGGACTTTTATGGACCTTTCTGCCTCGGGCGCCATAGACCTCCATTATTTGAATGTCAGCAGACAGCAAGAAGCCTCCCTGATCTCCAGATGCATTTGAGATATCAAAAAAGTACTCCAGAGTGTTGTTCAGCATGGGAGTGAGTAGAAAATGAAGGCTAATCATGTTTTGGGTGTACTATTCCTTTAAACTTACACAGGATTTTATCTAAGTTTAACCGACAAATAGTTACAGGTGTCAGCTGGGGTTCCTTTAATACTGTTATGGGGGGAAAAAAGAATGTAGAAAGATCCTTAAATAATGGTTAAAGCAGCCTCTTGTACAGTAGCTCAGAAGGGACATATCCTGAAGAAACCAATGGAAACATTTAACACTACATTTAACACCTAAGCTGTTTCTGTGCTTTTTCTTTCTTTAAAGCCTTTCTGAGTTGGTGTGTAGTGAAATGTCCTTAAGCTTGTCGCTCTGATTCGTTTCTGTCCCCCTCAGACCGGAGTGGTTCAGGTGAACAGGCCACTGGACAGAGAGCGGGTGGCGGAGTACATACTAACCATCACTGTTCGGGACAACCCAGAGAACCCGCGCATCGCTCGCAGGGTAACTCCACTTTCTTGTCCACTCTCAGTCTTAACTGGAGAAGTCATGCTCTTTAGGCAGAGAGGATTTCTGGTTTAAAATGTGTCAAACATAATTATTCTTTGCAATATTCATAAAATCCAATAAATATACACCGGAAAAATTGATATCTAGATAAGTAATTTTTTCTTAAAATAAGTGCATTTCTTCTTGAATTGAGGAGGTAAACGGGAAATGTTGCCAATTGAACAAGACAATTTACATTTAGAATAAGAAAACTCAATTGGATTGTCTTATTTCAAGTGCAAGTTATTAAATTATCTTATTTTACGAGTAGAAATGCTCATTCCATTGGCAAACTACCTCATTTACCTACTCAAATTAAGGGTAAATACACTTCATTTATGAAATTTTTACTTATTTCTAGATCGTTTTTCCAGTGTATTTCAATTACAGCTAAGTGTGCAGGGCCTTTGCAAGCACTAAATGCAATAGGGTCACAGCTGTGTCATTTCGAAAAGAAAAAAACGACATGCAGGTATGCTAAAAAGAGCCTTTGTAGAAAAAGGTGAGAACCTGCATTTGCAAAGGTATGAAACCTGTTAACCACCAAAACTACTGCACAGTTCTGCAAGGCTCTGAATACAAGGCTGTGCTCTGTGCTAGTATGATTTTTAAATGTTCTATTTGTCGCCGAACAGCAAAGTAAACACAAGCATGAAACTCTGAGCTAGAACTGTAGAGATGATGTCTCAGATAAACCATGCAAACAATTCTTTCATCTTCTGCAACAATCAGGACTCTGACTTCTTGGTCATCACCGTTCTGGATGAGAATGATAACAGGCCAGTTTTCACCAGGACCAGCTACAGAGCTGAAATCCCAGAGAACTCTGCAGCAGGTATCTCCCCTTCCTTCTTTTAATTTGATTAGGAGAAGCAACGCATGCAGGGTTAAAATATTGCCACTCTGTCTCAATAACTTCCTGACTCTGTTTGTGCATAGTTCATGCTTGATTTTTTTTCTTTTTTTTTTGCTCCACTTTGCGGTTTAGAAAGAGGAACTGACAGCTGTTTTCTGCTCGCACCTTTAAATGGCATTGATTCATGTTGCTGAAAGGATTAACAGATCATCAACCAGAATCATATTAGACTAGATGGTTAAATAACAGTGAATCTACTGTAAAAAACAGTTTAAGTGTCAAAGCTGCAGCAGTTCTTACCTTACTGACTCATTTAAGGAAAACAGCCTCTCGATCAGCTAAGCTGCTTTTCAAACCGCCCTTTTTACCATTTTATCACACATTAGTAGTGAATTAAAAACTATTTATTTAGGCTGTAAAGTTTAGAACCTTTTACAAATAAACTCTGACAAGTTGCATATTGTTACACTGCAAAAAATCTAAATCTAGATAAATCATTTTTTCTTAAAATAAGTGCATTTGTTCTTGAATTGAGGAGGTAAAAGAGACATTTTACCAATGGAACAAGACAATTTACACTTAAAATAAGAAAACACAATTGCATTGTCTTATTTCAAGTGCATATTATCTAATGATCTTATTTTAAGAGTAAAATTACTCATTCCATTGGCAAACTATCTCATTTAGCTACTCAAATTAAGGGTGAATACACTTCATTTAAGAAATTTTTACTTATTTCTAGATCGTTTTGCAGTGTATATACAGCACCCATTACACTGCAAAAAATCCAAATCTAAATAAATAATTTCTTTCTTATAATAAGTGCATTTTTTTCTTGAATTTAGGTGTTAAGTGTGACACTTTGCCAGTAGAAAAAGACAATTTACATTTAAAATAAGAAAAAAACGATTACATTGTGTTATTTCAAGTCCATATTATCTAAATATCTTATTTTAATACCAAACCTACTCATTCTATTGGCAGATAATCTTATCTACCTGCTCAAATTGAGGGGAAATACACTTAATTTAAGAAATGTTTACTTATTTCTAGATCATTTTTGCAGTGTATGAACAAAAAATATCTGTACCAGTTCTCAACATTGAGAGATGAAGGCGATTTAAGGGAAGTGAGACTGGATGGAGAGAATAACATATCATAATATCAAAGTCAGATCAAAGTCTGTCAGAGATTCAGATTTAGGTCTGGACTTTGACTAGGCCATCGTTTTATATATGCATTCTTCCAAACCATTCTGTTTAGGATTGTTGCTCCCATGGAAAGTGAACCTCGGTATTACATCTTTTGCTCATCTTATAGATTGTTTTTCAGGGTGTTTTTCTAAATTCAGTTCAATTCAGTTTTAATTTATATAGCGCCAATTCACAACACATGTCATCTCAGGGATCTTTACAGAGACAATTCAACTAGATAATACAGTCAAATTGATTAAAAATGTTTCTATCTAAGGAAAACCAGTTGATTGCAACGACTTATTGACTCAAAGGCAATCCCTCCCGACAAGCATGCATATGGCGACAGTGGAAAGGAAAAACTCAACTTAACAGGAGTAAACCTCCAGCAGGACCAGGCTCAGTGTGAGCGGTCATCTGCTGAGGCTGACTGGGGTTCAAGGAGACAGAAGCAGAGATACAGAAAGAAGCAGAGTTACAAAGGAACTTGATAACCAGCTCCTGAGGCGGCACCGTCCAGGAAACGCACAGCCAATCAGACGAGCTCCCAGCCAGCCCCCATGTCAGAGGATAAAGAGAGCACATCCAGTTACTCACAGTCAGAGAAACAGGACTAAACTGAAAAATAGGCAGAACTCCAACATCTATAAAAAAAAATGTGTTGATGGCAGCAGCACAGCTGATATTTCTCTCCAGGGTGGAGTCACAGCCAAACAGGAACAGACCAGATGAAGCTAATATGAGAAAAAGCAGAGAGAGCAGAACGTTAGAGATTGAACTAACAGATTCTGCAGAGTGGGAGAATAGAGATAGAATGAAGCAGAATGATACATTCGACTACATCTTCAGATCAATGCTGTCTCCTCTTTGGTTTTTCCACTGCTTTATGTTACATTGAGAATATATATTCAGGATGATGTATAAAATATTCATTTTCCAACTAACAATGAGTTTTGCATAAAGGCCAGAATGTTCAGTTTTCTGTGCTCCGATCCAGAACTCTTTCCTCCACTTGTTAGCTGGTGGTAAGGTGCCATAGAGCCTCTAGTTTTCTATTTCTTTGTGCCCCTTTGTTGAGTCCAGAACTAATAGGTTTCCCATGGACAGACTAATTCCTGAGCAGCTGATCTCTGTAGTTCCTCCGAAGGTTTCACAGGTTTTTTTAGTGCACAAACAAGAGCAGGTTTCACAGAATATCTGTGAATATATCATTAAGGTGTATCAGAGTGCATTATTTCTAAATAGTTTTTAGATTTTTAGACATAAACCTATATGAAAACCAGGCATCTGTTTTTCTTTTCCATTGAACTTCTGTGTTATGTCTCATAATTTCAAAAGCGGTTGCATAAGGTTTGTGCAAAAAATACTAAAACTTGTACGATGTACTGTCTGTTTGCTGTGTTTGTAATCTCCCCAACATCTCCTTATAACAATCTTCTCTGTGATTCATAAAGTCTTTCATAAATCCGTCTGTCTTAACATTCCTACATGTTGTTTAGGCAGCACGGTAACTGTTTTGAACGGGCCTGTTCTGGCCGAGGATAAAGACATCGGGCCAAATGCTGTGGTGAAATACCGACTGTTTGGACCCAGGGTTGACCTCTTCACTGTTGACCCCACCACTGGTAACCTTGTTTCTGTGCAGACTGTAACCTTGACGCCATACTGGAAAAGTCCAGCCAGGCTAACGCTCTGTCTCTCTCTTCAGGGGTCCTACTTGTGTGTCAAGGAGCAAAGTTGGATCGCGAAGCCTTTCAGGACCCACGAGTCGAGCTGATTCTGGTTGGGGAAGACATCGGGGGTTTAAACAGCAGCGTACCTCTGACCGTGACAATCCTGGATCAGAACGACAATCCTCCTGTCTTCAGTCCCTCCAGTTTTAGTGTGCGGCTGCCTGAAAACAGCCCCACCGGTGGGTAACTGAGACCTCTATGTTGATGACAGCTTTATTAGTAGTAAGCTAAGGCTAACTTGCTATGAACAGGAATGCCTGCCCTATTGATAACCTTTATATTTCCGTCACTTCCAGGCGTTGTGGTGACTCAGCTCTCTGCCACCGATGCAGACTCTGGCTCCAACGGTTGGCTGATGTACCGTCTGGAAAGCGGCGCTCAGGACCGCTTCGTGGTTGACCAGGTCTCTGGCGCCGTCCTGGTGGGCAACACGACGCTCGACAGAGAGGAGCGTGGGTCCTACCGCCTCGTTGTCATGGCAACTGACCGCGGCACGCCCCCTTTGTCCGGCACGGCCACCCTGACCGTTATCCTCGACGACGTCAATGACTCAAGACCGCGGTTTATAGAGCCTGTCACCATGATTAACGTCAACGAGTCAACCCCGCCGGGTGTGGTGGTAGCTACGCTCACTGCCGAAGACCCCGATCTCCATCCAAGGCTTGAGTACTACATCATCTCAGTGGAGGCAAAGGATGATGGGAACAATCCAGTGGTTGGCTTGCAGGACTCCTTCGGTATTGATCTACACACAGGTTAGACCGCTGGCTTAAAATATGAGCTGTTATAGCTGATGTGGTGGATTGTTGTGGGAGATCAGAAACGCTGAACTGTTTTGGGGTATTTCCAGGTGCCGTATTTGTACGCAACCCATTGAACAGGGAGCTGGTGGCTACGTTTGAGATCATCGTGTCTGTCCATGACAACGCCAGTGAGGTTATAGACAGGTCTGGCAGTGTTCCCAATGGTAAGTCCAGGTTATGCTTATTTTCAGGCTCTGTTCTGCAACCTGCACATTTTATTTTACAAGCTCCTCCAGTAACAGGTTTAAAGTAAATCTTATTCTTATGGAGTGAACTTTGTTCCATGGGGTTTACAAGCAAAAAAACATGTTTTGTAAATGGAAATAAAAAAAACCCACATTTTCTATATTGTAATTTGAAGAAAAGGCCCCCCCAAAAAATTCTTTAGTAGCATTGTTGTTGTTTTCTCTTATTTTCTAAATGTATTATTTCATATTTAAAGTTTTCGAAAAATTTTATATATATACTCTGCAAAAATGATCTAAATATGAGTAAAAATATCTTAAATTAAGTGTATTTACCCTTAATTTGAGCAGGTAAATGAGATGATTTGCCAATGGAATGAGTATTTTTACTCTTAAAATAAGATAATTAGATAATATGCTCTTGAAATAAGACAATATAATTGTTTTTTCTTATTTTAAATGTAAATTGTCTTGTTTCATTGGCGTTTCATAGCGTCTCCCTTGCCTCCTTAATTCAAGAAAAAATTCAATTATTTTAAGAAAAAAATGACGTATTAAGATTTAATTTTTTGCAGTGTATTACATATATATATATATATATATATATATATATATATATATATATACGTATATATATATAAGTGTATATATATAAAGTTCAATTATTATTATTATTTCTATCGGTCTATATGGAAACTGGCAACAATTGAAAAGAAGGTAATATCTAAAACTCAATCTGAAAAACAGAAATTTGAGAAACAAAAATGAAAATGTAGAATCTGTAAAAAAGAATTTAGGAAAAAAAAATATTTGAGTAAAATTTAATTTGAAAATAACAAGTCCGAAACATAAAATGAAAAATTAATTTGAAGAAAAATATGATTTAAAAAAATTTATTTTAAAAAATTTGAATAAAATCTTTTGCTCTCAAAACTTTCTTTTGTTTAAAAAGTTTTTAAATGTTTAATTTCTGTTTTGCCTTTTTTTTCTAATTGGTTGCAGCAATAATGGAACAAATTTCACTCCATATGTCATATTGCTGCCCAAATCTGACCTTTAAGTTAAAAATTAAAGTCAAAAATTAACCTAAATTAGTGGTTCTTCATATTAGGTCACTTAATATCACCAAACCTTATCTACAGATCTTTTTTTTTTTGAAGCTGCTGTATTTACCTTTTATTTTTTCTATCTCTCCTCAGCGAGACTAACCATTAACGTCCTGGACGTTAACGACAACGCTCCTCGTTTCCGGCCCTTCGGAGTCACCAACTTCACCGAGAGGATTTTAGAAGGAGCTCAGCCGGGCACAACGTTGCTGTCAGTGTCGGCTGTAGACCCTGACAAGGGTCCCAATGGTCAGGTCATTTATCAGCTCCTTCACGTGCCGAGAGGCGGATATGTGAGGCTGGAAGATTTTTCTACTGGTGAGGTCATCCATTAGCTGCTGCAGATTTCTTGCAAAGAACAAACACATCATATATTATCTTTGTGTGTTTTCATAAAAAAAGTCTAACAGCTTCTGCTGCTTTTTTAGGTAAAATCGTGGCCAATCAGACGGTGGATTTTGAGCAAGTGCAGTGGCTGAATTTCACCATACGGGCTCAGGATCACGGGACGCCTCCAAGGAGCGCCGAGCTTCCAGTTTATTTGAGGATAGTGGACGTCAACGACAACAACCCAGTTTTTCTACAACCCTCCTATCAGGTGACGGAATGATTCGATCCGCAAACGGCTGCTGGTTACAGAACCGTCCCCATAAAACCCTGGAAAGATTTTTGGTTTTTATTTTAGATTGCTTGCTTATATATTAATGAATGAATGAATGAATGAATGGGAATTTATAATAGATACACTCACCGGCCACTTTATTAGGTACCCCATGCTAGTAACGGGTTGGACCCCCTTTTGCCTTCAGAACTGCCTCAATTCTTGGTGGCATAGATTCAACAAGGTGCTGGAAGCCTTCCTCAGGGAGTTTGGTCCATATTGACATGATGGCATCACACAGTTGCCGCAGATTTTTCGACTGCACATCCATGATGCGAATCTCCCGTTCCACCACATCCCAAAGATGCTCTATTGGATTGAGATCTGGTGACTGTGGAGGCCATTTGAGTACAGTGAACTCATTGTCATGTTCAAGAAACCAGTCTGAGATGATTCCAGCTTTATGACATGGCGCATTATCCTGCTGAAAGTAGCCATCAGAAGTTGGGTACATTGTGGTCATAAAGGGATGGACATGGTCAGCAACAATACTCAGGTAGGCTGTGGCGTTGCAACGATGCTCAATTGGTACCAAGGGGCCCAAAGAGTGCCAAGAAAATATTCCCCACACCATGACACCACCACCACCAGCCTGAACCGTTGATACAAGGCAGGATGGATCCATGCTTTCATGTTGTAGACGCCAAATTCTGACCCTACCATCCGAATGTTGCAGCAGAAATCGAGACTCATCAGACCAGGCAACGTTTTTCCAATCTTCTATTGTCCAATTTCCATGAGCTTGTGCAAATTGTAGCCTCAGTTTCCTGTTCTTAGCTGAAAGGAGTGGCACCCGGTGTGGTATTCTGCTGCTGTAGCCCATCTGCCTCAAAGTTCCACTTACTGTGCGTTCAGAGATGCTCTTCTGCCCACCTTGGTTGTAACGGGTGGTTATTTGAGTCACTGTTGCCCTTCTATCAGCTCCAACCAGTCTGGCCATTCTCCTCTGACCTCTGGCATCAACAAGGCATTTCCGCCCACAGAACTGCCGCTCACTGGATGTTTTTTCTTTTTCGGACCATTCTCTGTAAACCCTAGAGATGGTTGTGCGTGAAAATCCCAGTAGATCAGCAGTTTCTGAAATACTCAGACCAGCCCTTCTGGCACCAACAATCATGCCACGTTCAAAGTCACTCAAATCACCTTTCTTCCCCATACTGATGCTTGGTTTGAACTGCAGGAGATTGTCCAACGAGCAGTTGGACAGGTGTACCTAATAAAGTGTCCGGTGAGTGTATATACCAGATAACAAGAGTTATCGGGCAATAGTGGTATAAGAATTAACTTATTAAATCCCCACCTCTTTTCCAGAACTTTAGAATGTAGATAGATAGATAGATAGATAGATAGATAGATAGATAGATAGATAGATAGATAGATGATAGATAGATAGATAGATAGATAGATAGATAGATAGATAGATAGATAGATAGATAGATAGATAGATAGATAGATAGATAGATAGATAGATAGATAGATAGATAGATAGATAGATAGATAGATAGATAGATAGATACCTTTTTTCAAATCTATTGGTCGATTCATATGCCTATAATAATATAGCTATAGATTTTAGTTTAATAATTACTGCAATTTGCAATGGCAGTAATTACAGGAAATACTGCTAAAGTTAATCCTAAAAAAACATATATGTTTATGCATTAGAATCTATAAGGACATGAGTATATCTAAGCTTAGCCTCTGCAAATGATTAACAGCAGTGTTTTATAAGAATAAGAATTTCAGCAATTCATGATGTTCAAAATCCTGCTTTCAAACATTTATAGTTAAGGTTTACTGGATTATTAGAGGATTATGAGAAAAGACACAGATTAACTGTAGCTGGGGTCAGAACCACCTACTGCCCTGATGAAGACATGAGCTTCCACTGTTGTATCATGAAGCAGAGACGACGGTAGAAACGTTCCAACCTGAGGAGAAAAGGAACCGGACTGTTATCCAGTGGTTCAGTCATCTTTTCGAAAAAAAAAATAAATAAATAAAACGGTACATTTTATAATGGTAAATTCTGAATGAAGACTTCAGCTTACACTACAAACAAAAAACAAAAAACAAAAAAGTATAATAATAAATAGATAGATAAAATTTAATAAAAAATAAGATGATTAAAATAGAAAAATGTGAGTTGAGGAGCAAAATTGATAATAATAAAAACGCAGAATGATATTAAAATTTTACCAGTTATATTTTTTAGCCAAACTACATAGAATTTAAATACATTTGACTGTGAGATCTGGTTGAATTATATCTATAAAGTGCCTTGAGTGAGGAATTGTTATATAAATAAACTGAATTGAATTAATTTGAACATGTTCTGATGAAGAGACGATCACTTTAGCCTTTTTAGGTCAGTTTGTTCGTTACTAAAGGAAGGCAAGGAAGCATTTAACCCCAGATCCATGCAGTCCAGATGAGTCATGTTACCTGATGATTTGATTCAGTGGCTTTTATATGTTGACTCATTCTGATTATAATCTGTAGCTCCCGTTTTGAATTGAATTACTGATATAAAGGATGTTTCAGATGATTCATTTCATTCGCTGATTTACACACATTGTTTGTCTTGTTTTTAGGAGCCCATCTTTGAGAACGTGGACTTAGGCACCACCATAGTCCGTGTTAGAGCCACGGATGCTGATTCCGAACTGTTCGCCGTCATAGAGTACAGCCTTGTAGACGGAGAGGGCAAGTTTGGCATCAAATCGTCCACTGTGAGTTAATCCTGGGGGAAATCTAAATCTAGATAAGTCAGTTTTTCTTAAAATAAGTGCATTTGTTCTTGGATTGAGGGGGTAAAAGTGACATTTTGCCAATGGAACAAGACAATTTACACTTTAAATAAGAAAACACAATTACATTGTCTTATTTTAAGTGCATTTTATCTAATTATCTTATTTTAAGAGTAAAAATACTCATTCCATTGGCAAACTATCTAATTTACCTACTCAAATTAAGATTAAATACACTTAATTTAAGAAATTTTTACTTATTTCTAGATCGTTTTTCCAGTGTATGAGTTTAGAAAGTCCAAAAGTTTTCCCTCCTACAGGAATCAGGATGTTTACCTTCCTCGTGTTTTAGGCCCGCATAGTTTTTGTTGCAGCAGATTTTATCCAAATAACTTTTTGAACTGCAGCTTTTTTAGAACAGGCAACAATCAAGATATACATGCAGCGACCCGTAAGAAGCAACCTGCTGTGGTTTCTCTTTTCAGGCAGCTAAAAAAAATGCGGTCTGGAAAGGAAAGTGTCCCATGTACAGTCCTGATATCACAGCTCCATGCTGTGTTCTGTCATATTAGGAACAGCGTGGAGCCAGAATAATCTTTAGAACTCCATCACTCCCACTGAGAAACTTCTTCCCAATCATTCCTTGTCCTCTTTTTTTCTTTTATTTTTCTCCCAAAGGGAGAAATCTACATCCTGTCCCCTCTGGACAGGGAGACCAAGGACCACTACACTTTAACTGCTGTTGCACGAGACAACCCTGGAGGGAGCCCCAACAACAGGAGAGAGAACTCGGTTCAGGTTGGGACAGTAAAGCTTTACATCGACTTTTACACGATTTTAGATTATAAAAATAAACGTACATATATCATGTAAAAGTACATTTTTTCATCACTTTCTGATATTAAATCAGGCTCAATCTTTGAGCTTATTCAGGAATTTTATAGTTATTTTAATTTTACAAAGTGTGAGGATTATAAGACGACTATTGGGGCATTTTGCTGCAAAAATTGGTTATTTTTGGTGTATTTTACTTTTATTAGAGCAAATAAGATCATTTTCCAATCCAATAAGTTGGTAGACTAGATAAGACATTTTTTTTCTTAAAATAAATGCTTTTGTTCTTGGATTGAGGAGTTAAAAGTGACATTTTGCCAATGGAACAAGACAATTTACTCTTAAAATAGGAAAACACAATTGCATTGTCTTATTTCAAGTGCATTTTATCTAATTATCTTATTTTAAGAGTAAAAATACTCATTCCATTGGCAAACTACCTCATTTACTTACTCAAATTATGGGTAAATACACTGAATTTAAGAAAAGTCTACTTATTTCTAGATCATTTTTCCAGTGTTTGCAGATCATCTCAAATCAAGGACAAACAGACTTGTTTTAAGAAATGTTTACTTATTTTTAATTCAATTTTTGCTTCGTCTGTTTGGTAAATTCACATTTGGATTTAATGAAGGCAAACTAATGAATGAAACATTGAAAAAGTACTTCAGATGTTCTGATGTGACGTTCTGGAACAATCAGGAGACTTCAGCAAAGGAGAAAATGTTGGACCTCTTATGTTTGATCTCCAGTTCCCTGAAGGAGCCACATTCAGCAAAGTTATAGAAGCAGCAGGAAAATGTCTGACCATCATGCAGGAAGGAGATGGCTTTTGAAAGAAGGAAAACTCCAGACATGAAGGCTTTTTGTTGTTTCCAACACCCTGGAGAGTTTTATAATCCATTAGTTGAAAGGCCATCAGTAAGGAAGAAGCCGTGACTCCAAAAACAACAAAGAGAAACCGATTACAGTTTATAAAAGCCCTGAGTGACTAATGGTTTCATTTTTCTGTTTCTGTAGCCTAATGAAGCTGAGACTGAAATATGTGATCATAATAAAAGATGCAAAGTTAGAAGGAAACATGAAAATCACACCATGTAGAATAGAAAATCCTTTTATTTCACTTCACTTTCACTTTATTTTTTAGCAAATAATCCAACATTAAACAACAAAACAACAATATCAAAACAAAACCAACAATTTACCAAAAGAAAAGAGGAATAGGCTGAAGCAAAGCTTATTATTGCCTACCCTTTATTTCTACCACAATGGGGAAATTCTGGTGTTTATATCTCAAAATGATTATAGAAAAAAATGGTCACACAAATGTGGACCTTAGAAAAATTTATAAGAATAACATAACAGTGAAGAGTTAAAAGATAAACAATAAAATAAGGAACAGTAAAGTGTTTTAGCCCTATAAAAAATGTGTAACTGGAGAATAAATAACCAATATCCAACTATGGAAATACAGTGATGGATATTTTAGATGTGCAAAAGGACAGCAGCATGTTATTTAACTGACTAAGATAGAAACTGTGCAAAAGTCGGCATGAATGTAACAACTTATTGAGGTTGTTGGGACCAGTGGTGGTTCTAGAGTCTTCCAGCTGCTGGGAGGAAGGATCTGTGATAACGCTCCCTGGTGCATTTAAGGAGCAGCAGTCTGTCACTGAAGGAGCTCTCCAGTTCAGCACCAGCTTCATGCATGAGGTGGGAGACATTATCCAACAGAGATGTTAATTTAGTTAGGATCCTTTTGTTTCCTACCTCCTGCACTGAGGGCATCCAATCACAGAGCTGGCCTTGGGAGTGTTTTATTATAAAGGGGGTTTTACATAATAGGCATCATGAAAAAAAGTCAAGAAATATTAAAGCAATGTTATACAGGTATTAGCCAGGAGTTGAAGTTGAGGCACAAAGAGAAAAAGTAAATTTAGAGCCGCCATCACTAAAGCTGTGATGGAAAAGAGTCTTTTTAAGACTGCTTATAAACCTGACCCACATACAGCAGTTGTGTTTGGAGGAGGTGGAAAAGGTTCCACTAAACTAGTGATGCAAGATATTGGGATTTTGGCCGACATCCGATATGCCGATATTTTAAAACTCATGTAGCCGATAACCGATATCGATACCGATGTTAAAGCTGGACAAAAATAAGTAGTCATTGAAAATAGCAGTTTTGTTATCCATTTCTGACACTTTGAAAAATAATATACTCAAATATATTTGCATATACTGATATCAAATAGATTTTTAAAAACGCGGTATCGATCTATTTTACTTTAAAATCTTGTGAAATTTCATCGTTCTGTTAAAAACTCTCGTGATATTTTGCAAATTCTTGTGAGATTTTGTTAGTAAAATAGATCGATACCGCGTCAATATATCAACATATAAAAATATGGCAAGATTTCGTTAATTTCGGGCGATTTCGTAGCATAACGATGACATATAGCAGTTTTTAAGTCTGTAAAAAAGAAGTTTTTGAGGAAGAAGAAGTAGTATTTTTAATTTTTTTTAGACTTTAGAAACTCAGAAGCTGATCAAATATCGGGTTAAATATCGGTGGGGTGGCCGATGTCCGATATTCAGTTTTAAGGCCGATACAGGCCGATACCGATAGGGGGCCGATTATATCGTGCATCCCTACACTAAACTATGCTGTGAAACTTGTTGAAGGATATCCTGAAAAAATTACCCATCATGCAGTTTAAAAGCTGAAATACAGGAAAATGAATAGATGGAGACATTTAAACATTAAGTACGGTTTGGTGATCCCAGCTGACCTGAAACAGAAAAGGTTTGGATGATTTACAGTGAGACTAAGTGTTTTATGGATTATAGTTGAAAATCCGCCAACTGTTAATGATTTTTATTCTGCCAATATTGACCGTGTCTTTATGGACCCTGAGTAAAGTTTCTTTCCTGTTTGACATACGAGGTTCTGGTGACGGTTCTGGATGTCAACGACTTCCGCCCCCGCTTCACGAAGCGAGTGTACAACACCAGCGTGTTTGAGAATGAGCCCAGCGGCACATCAGTGATCACGATCACAGCGGTGGATCTGGACGAAGGACAGAACGCTGCGTTGATCTATAGCCTACTTGGAGCACATTTAGGTAGGAATCTACCAACAAATGACAAAAAATGTGTCAGAGTGTTCAATTCCACTTAAACTTTTTCACAATTCTCCGGATCAAATTCACAAATCCTCTTTGATATTATTGCGTTTTATGCAGTTTAATAATGTGTAACTGAAGCAGCAGAAAAGTAATGCACACTTTTCTATACTTAAAATGTCTTATTACAAAGGGGATGTGTTGGATCCAAATTTAGATTTACGGGAATTTAAGTATTAAACTATTCACCCCAGTTAAATAAACAAAGATCGCTGGATTTCACTCAGTCGGCGCTTTATTTTCATATACAGGTGCTGGTCATAAAATTAGAATATCATGAAAAAGTAGATTGATTTCAGTAATTCCATTTAAAAAGTGAAACTTGTATATTATATTCATACATTACATACAAACTCATATATTTCAGATGTTTATTTTGTTTAATTTTGATGATTACAAATGACAACAAATGAAAATCTCAAATTCATCATATCAGAAAATTAGAATATTACTGAAGACCAATAAAAACAAAGGATTTATAGAAATGTTGGCCAACTGAAAAGTATGAACATGAAAAGTATGAGCATGTACAGCACTCAGTATTTAGTTGGGCCTCCTTTGGCCTGTATTACTGCAGCAATGCGGCGTGGCATGGAGTCGATCAGTCTGTGGCACTGCTCAGGTGTTATGATAGCCCAGGTTGCTCTAATAGTGGCTTTTAGCTCTTCTGAATTGTTGGGTCTGGTGTATTGCATCTTCTTCTTCACAATACCCCATAGATTTTCTATGGGGTTAAGGTCAGGAGAGTTTGCTGGCCAATTAAGAACAGGGATACCATGGTCCTTCAACCAGGTACTGGTAGCTTTGGCACTGTGTGCAGGTGCCAAGTCCTGTTGGAAAATGAAATCTGCATCTCCAAAAAGTTGGTCAGCTGCAGGAAGCATGAAGTGCTCTAAAACTTCCTGGTATGTGGCTGCGTTGACCCTGGACCTCAGAAAACACAATGGACCAACACCAGCAGATGACATGGCACCCCAAACCATCACTGACTGTGGAAACTTTACACTGGACTTCAAGCAACGTGGATGAAGTGCCTCTCTTCTTTTCCTCCAGACTCTGGGACCTTGATTTCCAAAGGAAATGCAAAATTTACTTTCATCAGAGAACATGACTTTGGACCACTCACCAGCAGTCCAGTCCTGTTTCTCTTTAGCCCAGGCAAGACGCTTCTGACGCTGTCTGTGGTTCAAGAGTGGCTTGACACAAGGAATGCGACAGCAGAAACCCATGTCTTTCATACGTCTGTGTGTGGTGGTTCTTGAAGCACTCACTCCAGCTGCAGTCCACTCTTTGTGAATCTCCCCCACATTTTTGAAGGGGTTTTGTTTCACAATCCTCTCCAGGGTGCGGTTATCTCTCTTGCTTGTACACTTTTTTCGACCACATCTTTTCCTTCCCTTCGCCTCTATATTAATGTGCTTGGACACTGAGCTCTGTGAACAGCCAGCCTCTTTAGCGATGACCTTTTGTGTCTTGCCCTCCTTGTGCAAGGTGTCGATGGTCGTCTTTTGGACAACTGTCAAGTCAGCAGTCTTCCCCATGATTGTGTAGCCTATAGAAATAGACTGAAAGACCATTTAAAGGCTTTTGCAGGTGGTTTGAGTTAATTAGCTGATTAGAGTGTGGCACCAGGGGCCATCAATTTTGAACCTTTTCACAATATTCTAATTTTCTGATATGATGAATTTGAGATTTTCATTTGTTGTCATTTGTAATCATCAAAATTAAACAAAATAAACATCTGAAATATATGAGTTTGTATGTAATGTATGAATATAATATACAAGTTTCACTTTTTAAATGGAATTACTGAAATCAATCTGCTTTTTCATGATATTCTAATTTTATGACCAGCACCTGTATATTCAAAAAGAGAACAGTTCATCATACGGCCCTTATGGCACGGTAATCAGCCCTGTTCTGACCCAGACAGAGTTCTTCTCCCTTACTTATAGTGAGGAAAAAGCTGTGAAAGTTGTCGTAGTCAAAACAAATTACACACACTTTGGTTAAACAATAACAATTCTTGAGAAAGAATCTGGCTTGTTATGGAATAAGTATTCCTTGTATGCAAAACACTTCTCATTCAAACATTTTGTGGCCTTGCAGGATAAGCAGACTGTGTAAAAACATTATGAACTGGATAAATAGCATACCTAATATAGGATAGGAGGATTAGGGACGCTGAAAAAAAAAAGTTTACTGATTTTAAAATTTTATTTCAATTTAGTATTGGAAAAAAGTCAGAATTCGGAGAAAAAAAGTCAGAATTTTGACTTTTTTCTCAGAATTCTGACTTTAATCTCAGAATTTTGACTTTTTTCTCAGAATTCTGACTTTAATCTCAGAATTTTGGATTTTAATGTAGATGGGCACCATGAAGGTAGAGATGTGGAGCAATCAGCTTCACTGAGAGGGCAAGTGACACATTGGTGGAAAATGACGGAATTAGGCAACTTTTTACGTGCCCGAGGGGTCCTCCTCTTGATGCTAACATGTTTGTTATCTGTCAGAATTCTAAGATCGAAGTCAGAATTCTAAGAAAAAAGTCAGAATTCTATGAAAAAATTCAGAATTCTGAGAAAAAAAGTCAGAATTCTGATATTAAAGTCAGAATTCTGATATTAAAGTCAGAATTTTGAGTTTAAAGTCAGAATTCTGACTTTTTTTCCGAAATTAAAATGAAAAAAAAAAGTCAGTAAACTTTTTTTTTTTCACTGGCCCTAATCCTCTTCCGTACTAATATATGAAACAAGAGAAATCTACATTTTCACAACACTTTCAAATTGCTATGCTGGGGCAGAAAATCCCTCTTGAGGGCCAGATTCGGTCCCTGAGCCTCGACTTTAACACACGTGGTGCATCAGTGCGTGTGCCAGCCATGCTGCTCACTTTGTGTCCTAAGAAAAACTATTGGTAGGATTCTATGTGGAGAATCTAAATATAATAATCTGGTTATACAGATATTAAAGTGTTAAAGTAAACAGGAAATTCTTTAAAATTCTTTTCAAAATAATACAATTTTGAGATAATTGGAATGAGCATAGATTAGGGAGTAAAAGCTCATAACCCAGTGATATTCTGCACTTATTTGAAAAAGTGAAGCTTAATAATTTTTTTATGCAGCCATTAATTGTCCAGCTTTCTTATCTGTTTTCTTATCATGTGGGTTTTCAGACGCCTTCTCCCTGGATCCAATCACCGGATTGGTGCGTTCCCGCCGCCTGCTTCAATCTTCAGAACGTTTCAACTTTACCGTTGTAGCTACAGACCAGGGACGCCCCCCTTTATGGGGCACCGCAGACCTGATCATCACTGTCATAGACGTCAATGACAACAGACCAGTGTTTCGCAGACCAGCTAATGGAACCATCATTCATATCTCTGAGGTATCTGCACCAGTCTGGGTGTAATGGCTGCCCTCCTTTTGCAATTATTTGTTTTCTTCATTCAGCTCTTCTTTGAGTTTAGTTGAGTGAAAAATTAACTCCTGATCTACATGTGCAATGATGTGCACATGTGGATTATTTTTATCTTCTTCCTGGGTATAATCATTTCTGTGAAGCAGCTCACCCATGCATGCAGTGGGTGAACATGTGGCTAATCTATATTTATCACAATCAAACCTCATTTGACCTGAATGTGTGTTTTTATGCAGAACAGACATCATTTAACACTGAGCTGCTCCATAAAAAAAAAAATGTATAATTGTAAACCTCACTCTTCATCCATAGTTAGATTTATTTTTATACTCAAATGGATCTGAATACATGAAGATTCATTAACTCTGAGTTTAGCTGCCATAAACAGCTTGTTCTGATGTTTTGTTCCAACAGGATTTTCTGCACATCCAACATTAAACTGGGAAAATAATTTAACATACACCTTTTTGGCTTCTAACCTTGTAATTGAGACCTACAGAGAGATTTATTTAGCCTCAGGCTATTTTTTATCTGACAGTTTTTAGGCAGAAGTTTTTTATGCTACGCTAATATTAGCATCTTATTCTGTTTTTCAATAAAATTCAATTCCGTTTATTTATATAGCGCCAAATTCACAACACATGTCATCTCAAGGCACTTTCCAGTTCACCAGATCATCCAGTCAGATTTATTCAAAGTTTTCTATCTAAGGAAAACCAGCTGATTGCATCGACTCATTGACTCTTCAGCAATCCCTCACACTAAGCATGCTTGTAGCGACAGTGGAGAGAAAAAACTCCCTTTTAACAGGAAGAAACCTCCAGCAGAACCAGGCTCAGTGTGAGCGGCCATCTGCTGAGGCCCGCTGGGGTTCAAGGAGACAGAAGCAGACATAGAAAAAGAAGCATAGATACCAAAGGCAACTGTAAAAGGCGACCCCGTCCAGGAAACACACAGCCAGGCAGACGAGCTCCGAGCCAGCTTCCATGTCAGAGGATGAAGAGAGCACATCCAGTTAGTCACGGTCAGAGAAACAGGACTACACTGGAAAACAGGCCGATCTCAAACATCTATAAACAAAGGTGTTGATTACGATGGAGGCTAGAGAATAATAAATAATAAATTTTTCTATTTCGAGAATAAAGTCATAAAATTATGAGAATAAAGTCATAAATTTACGAGAATAAAGTTGCAACATTGCCAAAATAAAGTTGTAAATTTATGAGAAAAAGTCCTAAAAATATGAGAATAAAGTTATATTATAAGACAACTCTTACAAGAAGTGCTGTCTCCTAAAATGAGGAATGTGGAGCATCATGTAAATCTCTAAAAAAGGAAATCTTTTAGCAGCAGCATCAAACTGGGCAGGATGTCAAAGTGGACTCAGGTTGCTGATTGGTGGAGCTGGTCATCCGTCATCTGCTAGTCGGAGTGCGAAACTTTCTTTCTGAAACGGGTTGTGGTATGATGACTTCATTCTCGTAATATTACAACTTTATTCTCAAAATAAAACAAAAATTAAAAAAAATCTCCAGCCTGGCCCTAATACTTTGTCGTAGTTGATGGCAGCAGCACAGCTGATATTTCTCTCCAGGATGGAGTCACAGCCAAACAGGAACAGACCAGATGAAGCTACTATGAGAAAAAGCAGAGAGAGCAGAACGTTAGAGATTGAACTAACAGATTCTGCAGAGTGGGAGAATAGAGATAGAATGAAGCAGAATGACTAAAATGTGTCCCTTTGATACAAATGCTGTAAAAAGTGGGTCTACTAATTTTAGGGGGGTTGTTATTCCTTTTTTTTGTTCATGCAGAAAACACTAATAGATTCATATCTAAGGTTGAGATTTGTAAGTTCTGGGGGTAGGAAGAGGTTTGCACTATGTAAATAACGTAGTTTGGATTTATTTAATAAATGTGCAAAACAGAATCAAACAATGACAGGTAGAAAATGTACAACTAACTTTATTCTTCAGCCATTTACTGCTTGTTAATCCCTCCTGCTTAAATCAGTTAGATTATTTTCTCAGCAAGTCCTAAAATATCACCAACTTCAGTCAATTCAAATCCCACCAAGTACTTCTGTTTGTGGAACCGGTCTGTTTGTGCAGGAGCAACCTCCAGGCCTGCCCGTATATGAGGTCCATGCAACCGACTCCGACGAGGGCGTGAACGGAGAGGTCCGCTACGCCTTCCTGCAGACAGGAGCTGGGAACAGAGACTGGGAGAGTTTTCACATTGACCCCACGTCCGGAGTCATCACCACCACAGTTAAACTGGACCGAGAGAAACAAGCCCTGCTTAGCGTGAGTCTGCCACGTCCGTGTAGCCTCAGCATCCGACAGCACATTAAGTAAATGTGTGAATCTCTCTCTCAGCTTATCATCGTGGCCCGGGACATGGGTCAACCAGTGCCTTATGAGACCACGCAGCCACTGCAGGTGGCGCTGTTGGATATTGACGACAACGAGCCGGTCTTCCTGAAGCCACCGGTAAGCACTGAGATGAAGTTCAGATGTACAGTTAAGGGTCGTGTTGTGTTAAATGAGGGCGTTATGTCCCCTAAAAAAGGCTGTTGCGCCTCGGGGGCTTCCTCACGGTTCTTTTCCTGGGAGCAAGTTATTTACTACTCTTAACTCAAACTGGGTAATAACATGTAAAAAAGGACTATAAAATAGGGGTGTAAATCACATCCATCATGGCGATTCGATTCAGTATCGATTTCCTGACCCAACGATTCGATTATTTTCGATACTCAAGAATACACCACGATTCGATTCGATTAATCGGTAAAAATTTTTTTTTATTTTTTTTATTTTTTTTTACAGCTTACAGGCTAAACAAAGTTTCAAGTTTGAAATAAATCAATGAAAACTGTATATCATTATGCATTTTTTTTAAACAACAGCAAATAACAGAAGTAGAAAAGTTGCATCAAAAAATACTGCAAAAATACAAAATCAGTGCAATGAGTTCAATGAAATACCTCGGCTCCAGAGTGTCGACGTCCCCGCCCCCTTGAGAGACGCTCCGCTGCTCCTCTCCCAAATTGTAGCTGATCGCAAACAGTGCAGCAGACAGGAGGCCGGCTTGTTTTGTTTTTATGAACGAAATTGCGGAAAACAACTCGTGAAGTTTGACCCGCTAGAAGAGCGAGGTGCGCGAGAACGCTGGGACCCTTTTTCCACCTGGATCTCCGCTCTTTTTGGCCCTCATGTCCCTCCGTCGTCGGACTAAACTCGCCCTCACTTCCTCGCCGCCTCGGCCGTATCTAGACCCACAGCGTGTAGCTCAGACCACGCTTCAATATTGAGCATAATTTAAAAATGTCTGTGTCAAGCTTGCTGCAACACACTGCTGTAAGAGTATAACCAGGAAGCGAGGTAGGAGGGCAAAATAGGTTTAGCGCCACCACAGCACGGGAGGGAGAATTACGTCCAGGAGCAAATGGATAAAAATAGACCGGAGGAAAAAAAAAACATGAATCGATTATCTTGCGGACGTGTCGATGCATCGAATCGTCGGCTTTTGGATCGATTAATCGTTAGAGGACAGAGAAAATACTTGGAGCTTGCACAGCTGTGGGCTCAAAAGTCACGTCTGCGAGCGTCCGGCAAAGATTGAGCCCCAAACAAGGTCATCTTCTCCTTCTTATTGCTCATGAGCCTATGTGTTGCATCAGTGCATGCTTAGCTGTCCGTATCAGAAACTGACACGCCATCCATGACCAAGGATTACAGATAGCTCTCCTCTATCAGTCCGGCTCCAAGATGTTCCCATATCCTGTGTTTTTTTAAAGACACGAAGGCTGTCCTGATTAGATGACCTCCGTACACAGTGACATCTACTCTCTCTAATCTGGCTAATAAAGTAACAGTGCACATGATGTATAAAGCATAAACCTAACAGTTGCATCTCGTAACGGTTTGTTTCTCCTCTCAGCGGGGCAGCCTGCCCTACCAGAAGCTGACCGTTCCAGAGCACTCCCCCCCTGGTACTGTGGTGGGCAACATAACCAGAGCTGTGGATGCAGACGAGGGCTCCAATGCCATTGTCTATTACTTCATTGCCGGTATAATGGCTTTCTTTGAAGATGTTTGTGCTGTTTATCATTTCATGATGAAAGATATCCTTTTTTATGGTAACCCCTGGATTTCAGAACAGGTTCTAGGGATTATTTTCTGAATATATCATCTTCCTATTGTGTGAAGAGATGACAGCTTTTGCACATCAAAAGCTGGAGAACAATGCAGGAATTTAGAAAGATCCATCTTCATATGACATCTTTTTCATGTCCTGCCGAAGGAGGAAACAGCGACGGAAACTTTGGCCTGAGTCTCGATGGAGTGCTGAAGGTTTTCAAGGATCTGGATAGGGAGGAGATCCCAGCCTACCTCATCATCATCAAGGCCTCCAGCAACAGGAGCTGGACTCCACCCAAGGGTCAAAGGTCATTACGAGCCAAAGCACTGGACCCCAATCTTGACCCGAGCCTTCTGGAAGTCCGAATAGAATTGGATGACATTAACGACCAGACGCCACGTTTTTCTAAGACAGAATACACCGCCGGTAAAGATGTTACCGCTCAGTGTAAGAGGCTGCATGGAAATCTAACTTATCGACTAACTTGGTGTTTTTGTTTAAGGTGTTGCTGCGAATGCTAAAGTCGGCTCAGACCTCATCAAAGTGGTGGCTGTAGACAACGACATTGGAAACAACAGTGTGGTCCAGTACCACATTGTTACTATCCGCTACTTCCAGACCCAGAGCAACGGCAGTGAAGACGTGGGCAACATCTTCACCATTGGTGAGAAAACGTGTTTCACCAACATATACATCGATCTCACTTGGTACAACAGAAAACACTTATTTTCAATCGTTTTTAGTAAATAATGTGTTTTAAAAATTTGAGATGCAACAAAATGTACCAGTTATTTATTTTTTTTCACCATTGTTTGATTCCCGGTGGGATTCTTTTCCTGCTTCATCTCGTTGCAGGTTTGACGGATGGAATGATTCGGAGTTATGACCTCTTTACGGCTTACGACCCAGGCTACTTTCAGCTAGAGATTTTAGCTTGTGACCTGGCAGGTCACAGCGCCACCACTAACGTAAATATCTACATCCTCCGAGATGACCAGAGGGTCAAGATAGTCTTCAACGAGATCCCTGACTGGGTTCGGGAAAACCAGGACGATTTCATCAGCCTGCTGTCCAACATCACAGGAGCCATCGTAAACCTGGATGACATACAGGTCAGACTTTCTCCCTTTCTCCGTCTATTGCTACGTTCAGACCGCAAGCAGCAGAGGCAGCAGAAGCAGCTGGTTTACATGCAAAGTCAATGGTTGACGCGCATCCTGGTGCAGCAAAAAGTCCCGCAGCTGAAGCAGCGCGTCGTGAGCTTCTGAGCATCTGACGCACTTCAGAAGCAGCATCAGCATCAACCAATCAGAGAAGCTGATATGGGAGCTGGCAGTGAGACAGACACAGCACTGCTGATGCAGAGCGCTATGATCACTCCCCTTAAACAGTTTATTAATGCCGAAACCTGCCGGCAAAATATGTTTGATTTTACATATTTATTACATACATTAGCAGAAAACTGCGAAGAGGTGACCGGGCCAGAGGCTGCTGTTCAACGAGGTTCCTAGTGACAGAGCACTGCCGGTATACGGGGATCTAAGTGGCTCCTACTGAGAAATAATATTTGAAGACCGGATATTAATCTTGATGAACTGACTGCACAGATGAAGTTTTCAGGTGGACTATCTCACTTAAAAACACATTAAAACTAATTTTTACCCACTGATCACAGCAAATATAGCTGCCATTGTTACAGGCAAAGAAAGGATAGAGTAGCCCCGCCCAACGCGCATTAAACACACTTTTTGACCCCGCAGTTAGAGCAGCAAAGATATTACAGCCGTGTGTCAGAACTAAAGTTGTACAAGCATCAAAAATGAAGCAGCACGCATGTTTTTGCTGCTCCTGCTGCATTATACATACTTTTTTTGTCGATGCAAAGAAAAAAAAATATTTCTACACCTTGATACGGTGGCCCTGAAGTGCAAACTGCAACTACAAATCTAAAAGCGCAACTACATTAAGGAAATCGCAACTACATAAAGCAAAGCGCAATTACATTAAGGAAAACACAATTATATTAACCTACCGGAAAAGGTAGGTACCAGTGGGAAACATGAGACATCGCTGATTGGACGACGGCGCCGTTTGACCCTTGAACCGGAAGTCATTCTGCCTGCTGCGGCTTTTGAAAACATGGATATTGTCGGCGCCCCAAACATAGCTGCCGTTATCCAGGAATATTTTGAGTCAGGACATACGTACGAGGTGATACTGGATATGCTCAAGACTAATCACCAAATTTCAGTTAGTTTGCGTACACTGAAGACACACTTAAAAGAAGCTGGACTGTTCAGACGACGCAACTTCCGGTTCAAAGGTCAAACGGCGCCGTCGTCCAATCAGCGATGTCTCATGTTTCCCACTGGTACCTACCTTTTCCGGTAGGTTAATGTAATTGTGTTTTCCTTAATGTAGTTGTGCTTTGCTTTATGTAGTTTTGTTTTTCTTAATGTAGTTGCGTTTTTAGATTTATAGTTGCAGTTTGCACTTCAGGACCACCGTACCTTGAGCATTTCCATATTTTTTGTGTTATAGCCACGGAAAGTGTGGCATGCATTCATCCCCAGTCAACACACTGCAGAGAGACATTTTGCTGCAATTCCCTACACGTTTTATACTTTTTTTACCCTGGACTGACTCGGCTGTTTGAACTCAGAAACATTTCCTTCCAAACAATTATATCGTAGCTATGGTCACATGTTTAGCTGGTTCTCCTGCTGGAAGGTGAACCTCTGCTCCAACCTTTGGTCTCTTCCTGTATTTACCTTTATCCTACTTACTCTAACCAGACCCTTATTTTATGAGGAAAATAATTCCCACATCATGATGCTCATCTACCGATGTCCTCAAAGCCAAATGTAAATGGCATAAAGGTCATTAAATAATTAATGAACTAAAAACTTAAAGGGAGTATTAAGGAAAAAGTAAGTTAAGATGACATTTAAAAAATAAGTAATAAAATGAGAGAAAGTTGGACTATAAAAAATCTTAACATATGTTTTTAATTTCCCTGTGAAGCAGCTGAGAGTTTCAGCGCATACAGGTTTATGGGAGTTTATTCCAGATCAGTGGAGTGTAAAATGTTCATGTTTGGTTCTGGTTCTGCAAAGTAGATTGGAGCCAGAGACCTGAAAGGTCTGGATGTTTTGCAGGTTGGTGTTTTTCCCAAACAGTGGGTTTGTGGCCCTAAAAATGGACTAAATGTGTTGATATGCCACATATTTCTCCTTATCTGTCAATTTGAAGATCATGTTTGTTTGTTTATCGGATCAAATCACAACAAAATACATTGAAAATGTGTTCTTGTAAAATAGAACATCGCAAAAAAATTGGCATTTTACTTTCACTCTAACAACCTGTAGTTTCATGTGGACAAGAAAGGCAGAGTGAGCTACGCTCAGACTGACATGCTCATCCATGTTGTCAACAACCAGACCAACACCATCCTCGATGTGGAAAGGTATGTTTCCCTTTTGCATCCTGCAGGTTTGGATCATTCAGGCCTGTGTATTCACAGTATTAACTGTGTGTTAACGTTTGCAGAGTCATCCAAATGATCGATGAGAACAAGGAGCAACTGAGGAGCTTGTTTCGGACGTACAACGTGGTGGACGTCCAGCCTGCTGTTGGTGACAAACTGCCCGACGACATCTCCACTCTGCAGGTCTGCAAAAAGCTCCGACTTTCTGAGCTCAAATACTGTGGAAGTTATTTCCTACTGTTGCCTTTTTTTTTTCTCTTTCCCTTTTCACAGCTGGTGATCATTATCCTGGCCGTGCTGCTGTGCTTGGCAGGAATTTTGTTTGTAACAATGAACTGGCATTATCGCAGAGTGTAAGAATCCTGCAGATATTTCTGTTGTGGCAGATTTCTTTTAAATGCGCAGTGATCTTAAAAGCAGCCGAAGCACGCGTGTGCAGAGTTACCTTATCTTCTCATGGTGTTTTCTTCTGTTGTGCTGCAGACACCAGAGGAAGCTTAAAGCTATTGTTGCAGGATCAACAGGTGAGCAGGTTGTTTTACAGGCAGAACGGCGTCGTAAGCTGTTATCAAATGCTGATGATGCAATTTAAGACGAATGGAAGACATCTTTCTTATTTGCTTTTTGCCGTGCAGGAAACCAAGGTCTAATGGATATCCTGGACATGCCAAACACTAACAAGTACTCGTTCGATGGGTGAGATCTATATCCAAACTCAATGGAAAAATGTCCTTATTAGGAGAGGCTTGGATTTAGAATCAGTGTCAGAATTACTTTATGGATTCTCTTCTTGCAGTGCATCCTTTTCATTCAATTCAATTCAATTCAGTTTATTTATATAGTGCCAAATTCACAACACATGTCATCTCAAGGCACTTTACAGTTCAACCAGATCATACAATCAAATTGATACAAAGTTTTCTATCTAAGGAAAACCAGCTGATTGCATTGACTCATTGACTCAAATACAATCCCTCACACTATGCATGCTTGTAGGGACAGTGGAGAGGAAAAACTCCCTTTTAACAGGAAGAAACCTCCAGCAGAACCAGGCTCAGTGTGAGCGGCCATCTGCTGAGGCCGACTGGGGTTCAAGGAGACAGAAGTACAATAGAGCAAAATAAAAATATAATGTAGTAAGAGAATAAATTAGTAAAGTTACAACCCACACAGTAAAATTATACCATTCCCATTTAAACTGTGTAAAAAAAGGTACAGGAATAAAATAGGATCAAGATAAGAATGAAATAAGATAAGATTATTTTGATTGATTGACTTTATTGATCTCACCGTGGAGAAATGTACTGAAAAAGTAAATGTAAGAATGTTCCAAAGGAAGAAAAGGTTGCATGGGATATATATAGCATATACAGTGCGGCAACATATGATGATTGTTTGTTATTTTAGTGGTTTTGAGCGGCATTATTTTCACCTTGAAATTTCACGAGAGTTTAACCTGACTCCGCCAGATGGATTTGCTCCACATATCCATCTGGAAACCTTCCGTTGAAGTAATTTTGGGAAGGGGCGAAAATACTAGTTAGCTGATTGGCCTATGTTGGTGATAGACGGGCCAAATAAACCAATCAGATCAATGAAGCATATGACGTACTAACAGAGCGACGACGAAGAGGAGCCAATTGATAGATCAAACTCTTGCCGAAACCAGTCGGGAGAAGAACAAAAACATCTTTTCCTCTGAGAAAAGCCTCCAGAGCAGTGTTTTGCTCTTCTTTCAGTGAAGAAGTACTGTGTAATTCCGATAAAACTTGCTCGATAGCCACGCTAACGCTAGTTTCATCGGCTGAAGCCGCCATGTTCTTTAGACTGAACTGTCGTGCTTCTCGTTGCGTCACACCTCAACCCACCTCAAAGCCAAAGCTGATTCGTTTGGTGAACGGCTCCAAATTTTCTTTAACGGAGAGTCTCCAGACTTATTAGCGAGTGAAATCTTGAAAGCTCGCGAGATCAGGATGGTCTCACGAGGTTAACGAGAGTTACCTTTGGAACCAAATCCTTCATGCACGACTTTTACAGATCAATCAGATCAGTTTGTGCACTAAGAAAGTTTAGAACCTCAGATTGCTGTTTGTTTTTTAATGCTAGCTATGTATTTAATATAGTGACCCAAGCAGTAAAAGGATTAACTCCATTCCCCAATAAGACCCTGTTCAACTAGATGTCATCTGGAAATCAAACCACTACAGTAATCGACTTATTTAAGGAGGAACCTGTCCTGCTTCCCTCCACAGAGCCAACCCAGTGTGGATGGACCCATTCTGTCGCAACCTGGAGCTAGCTGCACAGGCTGATCACGAGGACGACCTGCCTGAGAACCTGAGTGAGATCACTGACCTGTGGAACAGCCCGGCACGCACTCATGTCAGTACTAACTGCTCTAAAGGCTTTACTACACAGCGGTTTATTAACATTAGGTGTAGTTTAGGTCAATCATTAATATCAAATCATCATTGACAAAAAAAAGTATATCACTTGTTTTAATTGATTTATTTGAATTGTTCTCGTTCGGTGTCTTTACCAACATATACGTAACTTCAATGTTTCCTAGAGCTATAGTTGCTCATTTTCTCTCATACAGGCTCAAATACAACTTTAAACCCTCAGTAATATTGGATAAATCTTCCTTAGCAAGTTTCAAGAAAAGGAATCTTTAAGACATCAACTAGCTTCTGGATGTTTGTAGTTAGAAATCTGTGCACTGCTATTATCCGTAATCTTAGAATTTATTTAAACTAGCTTTTTTCTGTAAAGTACTTATCAGGTCCAGCTTGGAACCATTCCATTTCTTACCCTGCTTTATCCATTTGGGTGTGTATGTGGGACCACAGCATGATGCAGACACCACCATGCTTAACAGCTCATACAGTAGGTTTTAGAAAACTTCACAACTCATACTTAACTAGATAAACCTACTTTTAATGATCATTAAACTTTTCTCTGAAATGCATTGGCTTATCCGGACGAACTGCTTCAAATCTTATTTATCTCGGTCTGATTTTGTCCCACTTTAGTCCAATAATTGATGTTTAAAAGGTGTTGCAAACCCATTTTTCAACGTATTTTGAGCAATATGAAAATTACGGCTTTTCGCCTTTCCCTTGTCAACTGACTGTAGACGTTGTTTGGACGTAAATGATGTTGTCTTTTCAATGTCTTTTCAACCAATTTTCGCTCAATGGGGAAGGTGTGGACAATGTTAAAGGTGCTTCTTTTTAGAAGGCACCGTCTCACTCCCTGGGCATGTAAAGACTGCACTGCAAAAAATATAAATCTCAATAAGTTATTTTTTCTTAAAATAAGTGTGCTTTTCCTTGATTTGAGGAGGTAAGTAAGACACTTTGCCAATGGAACAAGACAATTTCCTTTTAAAATAAGAAAAAACTATTTTATCGTCTTATTTCAAGTAAATATTATCTAACTATCTTATTTTAAGAGTGAAAATACTCATTCCATTGGCAAATCATCTTATTTACCTGCTCAAATTAAGGCTAAATATACTTAATTTAAGCCATTTTTTACTTATTTCTGGATTGTTTTTGCAGTGTGGTGGACAGAGACAATTGTGTTCAACCAGGTATCAGTTAATAACACAAGTTGATCTTGGTTGTGTGCAGTCTGATCAGTTTTCATCGGTTTGTTTCTATTGGCTGAAACCTGGACACAGTTGATTGATCTTACACGTCAATGAATTGACAAATTGATAGATAATCATTTCCAAAACAATGGGCTGGCTTACTCTACTGGCCTTGACCTCAACTCTGTTGTACATTTGAAAAAGCAGTGATTGAAAGCCAATAGATGCAAATATCTTGAACATAATCCAACAAAAATAATACTCAAATATCTGCTAGAACAATGTTGACAGCTACAAGAAGGGAGTATATTTGATATCTGTCCAAACAATTTAAATATATAAATTATAAGAAGCCATTAAATCAAACTTGTTGAACCGATCTTTGACTATAAAAACACAGAAGTTGTATGGTTTGAAAACCCTGGAAAAAGAACGTTCAGAACATTAAAAATCAACATCAATATCTCCTTGATGTCTCATGAGTTTGTGTGGTTTTCCTTTCAGGGCACCTTTGGTCGCGAGCCTCAAGCGAGGCCAGACGACGATCGCTACCTGAGAGCGGCCATACAGGAGTACGACAACATTGCTAAACTGGGTCAGATTATGAGGGAAGGTCCCATCAAGGTGAGAAATGCAGCCAGACTTTTAAATGTATTGCTAATTAGATTAATTCACCCTAACCCAAATCAACAAGTACTAAGCGAGGCCGTAGCAACAACCAGTTTTAAGGTTCATACCAAAGACGAATTTTGCAGCTGGAGCGAAGGATTCCCATGTTATCCCGAAGTAGAGGGCCGATCTGGAGCAAAGCAAAGCAGAGAGAAGCTGAGCCAGACGACGGTGATGAATTTAGGGAGGCGAATGGAGCATTTTTGGCAAAGTTGCCGACATTTGATCGGTGCCTCGCCTGCAGATGAAGTTTAAAAATGTGAACTTTTCTTTACATTTTGCGCCAGACAATCCAGTCAGGGACAAGCTCCAGCCAGCCATAGCTTATCCTCACTCTGCTTCCCTGGCTGGCTTCCAGTGATGGGCAGTAGCGCCGCTACATGTAGCGAAGCTATTAGTTTAACTACATTTTCCAGTAGCTTGACCGTAGCGTCGCTGCTTTATTTATGAAGTAACTTTCCTGTAGCAACGTTATTGTTTTGATCAAGTAGCGACGTAGCGTCCACAAACGCTACAAAATCCAGGGCATAACTAAGAAATGAAACCAGGTTTTCTATTTTGAAACAACAATCAGCCACAAAACTACTGTAAATAGCAGTTTCAGCTGATGCTCTTATAAGTGGCGTAGTAGCACAGGCACACTCCGTAGGGTTAAACAAGCGCACCCTTTCTCAGTCTGTCGTTCTATTGGCTGGAATGGTTGCTAGGCGACGGTCCAACTGCAGTCCGAGAGAGCAAAAAAAAATCCGCAAGCAGAGCCTACGGGTTTGCGAGCATATCTGAGACTCGTGCAGAGCGCGGTTTGTGCGCGAAGAGAAGGAGGCAAGCGAGAGGAGAAAATATCTGTGCAAGAAGCATTAAATCTGAGAGAAGAAACAAAGATTTGAGAGAGAAGAGAAAATATTTGAGAGAGAGTGCATGTTTTGAGTATGAGCATTATAAGTTTTGAATGCAAGAAGATGAAATTCTTTTCTCAAATTAAAACTATGTGCTCTTGCATTATGGCAGGATAATTCTCCCATATCTATGTGCCACTAAGATACTCTAATTAGAGAGCAGTAGTGAAACTTCGATATTGTATTTTCATGGCCTAGTTTACCTGACAGGATGTTTACATAAATCTGTTTTTAGGCTTTGCACAGACAAGATTTTTTTATTTATGGAGGAACAGCTCTACCGTATATAAAATAAATACATAAATAAATAAATGCTCAATAAATAAATAAGCATTCAACTAATTGCCCCCAAAAACACAATGAATAAATATGTAGGTAGAAATAAAATTATATGGTGAGACATAAATATATGTATCACTTAATTAGCTTCTTTATTTTTTCACCTTTTTTGTAAACAGTTTCATTTGTTACTTGAATCGACTGTTTAATTGAGGTCTGAAGAAGTTTTCTCTAAGGGAGACCCTAAAGAAATCAGATGCCTTTTGTAGGGTTTTGTTTTCCCTAGAGATGTCCATTGAATGCAAACTCATAGCCATGTCTCGGTGTGTAGAACACTACACAGTACCTTTCATTTGGTTCTAATAACAGCAGATTGTTTACTAGTTTGTCTATTAGTAATTACTTCAGTTTTTATTTTAATATGCTGATCATAAAGCAATGTTTACACTGTGATATGTCATTGGCTGATCTTTAATAAATGTTTTAACCAGTGTGTCAGACTCATTTTGAATTGATATTAGGTTGGTACAACGTTAAGTAGCTTCTGATGTAGTTAAGCTACTTTTAACACATTAGTGTAACTTAGCTTGCTATAATTCTTTAGGTGGTAGCTTTGGTGTAGTGAAGCTTAATTTATTGTTGAGTAACTGATAGCTTAGCTCACTACAATGGACAAGTAGCTTGCCCAACACTGCTGGCTTCTCGGATGTACCACTGTCCTACCCCTGGGTAGCCGTAGTCTCTAATATGCCCTCAGTGTTCGGTCTTCCTGGTAGGCGCATCGATCTGCTGCAGCGGACTTCCCACTCTTCCTCCTCTCCTCGCTCTAGTGGGCTGATATCCAGGGGGGCTCCTCCGATCTCCCACTGTGGTTCCATTGTTCCAGATGGTGACATCGCTAAAAGCTTGGTGCCGGTGTTCCCGCACTGATCTCCCGCTTCTCCTGTCTGGGACCATAATGCTATCTCACCTAACCCTCTGTTGTCCTGGTGATTTGTCCCCCAATGCGGGATGGCAGAGCCCTGAACTGGGTCATAGATTGGCAAGTACTGCTGAAAGCAACCGTCCTCCAGACCTAGGCTCTGTAGCAGATGGTGGTATTACCCAAACTGGTTCCATCTCTGGGAAGCTGGTGAAGCAAGGAACACCAACAGCTTTTTCAGCTATCGAAAGTAAAAATCACTGCCAGACCATTTGTAAATCCATGTCCGCCATGATGAGGGGAACCAACGACCAGCAGACTCCATGATATACTAGTCTTTTGGCCATCGGGCAAAATGCTTTCACTGGCCAGGCGATTATCAAGGCGAGCAAAAGCAGACGGAACTGCTGAAATTTCTCGTTTGGTGTGAACACAAAACCTGCAAAATGCCTTGAAGAGGCATTACGGAGTTTTCTAATGATACTGCTACCTGTGGTGAAAAAAACGCAGAACTGCAACCCTCTTCTGCTTGTTCTTTTAGCTTGCGCTCATACTTAACAAGGTTTTTTTTCACCTTACCTAGAGTTGATATTGGTGTCTGAGTTGAGCTGCATGCTAGCCTCGTGAGACCATCCTGATCTCGCGAGCTTTCAAGGTTTCACTCGCAGATCAGTCTGGAGACTCTCCGTTAAAGAAAATTTGGAGCCGTTCACCAAACGAACGTCCAATCAGCGTTGGCTTTGAGGCGGGTTGAGGTGTGACGCAACAAGACGCGCGACAGTTCAGTCTAAAGAACATGGCGGCTTCAGCCGATGAAACTAGCGTTAGCGTGGCTATCGAGCAAGTTTTATCAGAATTACAGAGTATTTCCTCACTGAAAGAAGAGCAAAACACTGCTCTGGAGGCCTTTCTCAGACGAAAAGATGTTTTTACTCTTCTCCCAATTGGTTTCGGCAAGAGCCGCAAGAGTAGCCTGGCGTGTGGTTGTGTTTTCGTCGTCACTCTGTTAGTACGTCATATGCTTCGTGAATCTGATTGGTTTATTTGGCCCGTCTATCATCAACATAGGCCAATCAGCTAACCAGTATTTTCGCCCCTTCCCAAAATTACTTCAATGGAAGGTTTCCAGATGGATAATGCGGAGCAAATCCATCTGGCGGAGTCAGGTTAGCTGGATGCCGGTCGCTTCTAAGAATCCATGAAATCAATCTTAAATAAAACGCTTTGATTGTGCCCTAGATCGGACTGATTTAACATTGACGCGCTTGATGTCACCTCCGCCAAACAGGGAGGGAAGTTATGACCCGAAGTAAATTAATGAAAATAAGCTACAGGCTTATAGATGCATTTACAAAAGGTCAAATAAAAAGGTTATTTTAAAAATGATTTTCAGTTCAAACTTACATAATCTCTCTTTGGCTACAGGCTGTTAAAGCACAGTTGTTAGTTCAGGCTTTAGCAGTTAGTAGAGTTTAGTTTTGTTTGATCCTAACTGCCATCCTATCAGGGATCTCTGCTGAATGTGGTTCTGGATGACTACCTGAGGCTGAAAAAGCTCTTTGCAGCGCGGCTGGTCACCGCATCCACCGGCCAAGGAGGAGATGAGTCATCGGTTACGGAGGTGGGCTTGGCAGGAAAACCACTGATCTATCTGCATCTGAAGTTCTTCACCTGAGCTGAGAGTGACCTAGCTTTCCTTTCTGATGTCCTAATGCTGCATCTTTTCACCGCTTCACGGCTGCTTTGAACCAGACTCCACATCAGATGGAGTCTGCTCTTTTCAAACAGCTGCAATATTTCTATCACAAGATTTCTCAGATATATTTACATGTCTGCCGCCTGCTTCTCTGCTGGAATCAGAGTGAATTTACTCTTTCACTTTTCTCTGTATGTTTGAACAATGTTTTTCTTCTGTGATTTGTCCACAAATCAGCGTTTCAGGTTTGTGGAATATTCCTGCTGAGTTAAAAACATGTCCTCTACTGGATTTTTCAAACACGTCTGTGTGAGCACTTCTGAAAATAAGAAAGATCACCTTTCATTCCTAGAGTTTCTCCTTGCACACTGCAAAAACGTTCTGAAAATTAGTAAAAATGTCTTTAAACAAGTGTATTTAAGATGATCTGCCAATGGAATGAGCATTTCTTACCCTTAAAATAAGATAAATTAGATATTATGCGCTTGAAGTAAGAGACTATAGTCTTTTTTTCTTATTTTAAATGTAAATTGTCTTATTCCATTGGCAAAGAGTCTTACTTACCTGCTCAATTCAAGAAGAAATGCACTTGTTTTAAGAAAAATTTACTTAGATTTACATTTTTTGCAGTGCAGGGCATGAAAACGTTCTGATTTTATCAAGATTAAAAATGTGTTTAAATCTAACCTCAGAAGTATAAAACAATCAAATACCAAATCACCATTAATTACACACTGCTCCCCAAAGGTGATGGGTTAAATGCAGAGGTAAATTTCTCCAATTTGAGATAAAGTTCAATTACTATCATTATTATTCCAAACCAAGCTGCAGTGCTGCAACAGAGCAGCTAAAAATAAACTTCTCTGCCATCCTTAGCGATATGAAGCAGTGTTGTAGGGAAAGTAGAAAAGGTGAATGAGAGAAATGTAAATCCCTTTATTGTCCCATAATGAGGAAATTCACTCTCTGCATTTAACCCATCCCTTTGGGGAGCAGTGGGCTGCCATTGTGTGGCCCCTGGGGAACACTTAAGTGTATTTCCCCTCAATTTGATCAGGTAAATAAGATTATTTCATTTTATTTCATTTATTGTTTATTTGAAAGGGGACAGTGTACATTAATCAACATTAAAACAATGTAAATATACATTGAGTTAGCTAAGGAGTGCTAATTTTCATCGGTAGTCCCCCGGCCAGATCTAAAAAAGGCAACCTTAAAAATAAACATAAGTATAAAATCACAAGATAAAATTACAATACCAATTACATAAAAAAAAACATTATGGTTAATACAATTCATGTAAAATAATTAAAAATTAATTGTAAAATTATTTAAATACACACAGAAAACCTTAGTGCCCACAAATTTGGCTCTCTACAAGCCATTTTTTTGCATTCTATTTGAATGAAATTTGCCAATAGTATAAGTAGTTTTGCTCTTAAAATAAGATAACTAGATAATATGCAGTTGAAATAAGACAGTGTAATTGTTTTTTTTCTTATTTGAAATGTAAATTGTCTTGTTCTACTGGCAAAGTGTCTCACTTACCCCCTAAATTCAAGAAAAAATTACACTTATTTTAAGAAAAGATTACTTATTTAGATTTCGATCTTTTGCAGTGCAGAGTGAAGGCTGTTGGGATTGAACTGGGTAGTTGCAACCTTCTCAGAGCACAAGCGCTGCTCTAACCACTAGGCCAACACTCCCAGTTAGCAAATTATTCTGTTTCCTATTCCTGGCTTCATCTTTGTTTTAAAAATAAGGGATGTTGAATCTGTTACATTGTATAGCTCCTGGGGGCCCCATAAAACTCCTTTTCCATACAGCCATTACTTATTTGTGCACATTAATTATGTTTTTAATAAAAATCCCTTAATTAAAACGCCATCAGAATGCTTATAATATTAAGAGTGTCTCAGGCACAGGTGTATTCAGCAACTTTTCAGACCCATCTAGCGCTTTTATTTCAAAAAAGCGCCTAGCGCCAAATCTAGTACCTTTTTTCTGCTACTGGAGACTTTGGTGACAACATCTAAAAGCAGCGAACTCTGCTCTCCAGAGCAAGTAGATTGGTAACCCCGCCTCCTGCTCTCCTCTATCTTGTCTGCTGTCATGATTCATGCAGCTATTATTTCATCCAAATGAAAAATGGAGAACAGATAAGCAGATCATGGCTTGTCTACAGTGAAAAGAAGGACTGGGTTATTTACTTTGGCCTTTTTGGAAACACAGGAAGGAGCAATCAGCTAAGTGAGCTTAGTTTCATTCCTTTTGAAACGACATCAAAAGTCAGCTGAGTACAAAACAGAGGAAAACAAGAAAAGGGACAAAACGTAGAACAGATAATGTCTATTATATTAAAATTTCTGTATCTGTATAATGGGTCTGTTTTATGTTTTGTCTTCTTAATTCAGAGGGCTCCCTGCCTGTCTTTGCCTAGGGCCCCAAATTTCCTAAACCCACCCCTGGTTATCTGGTTTTGTACACTCAAATTTACAGTAAAAAAATTATCAGTAAAACCATGAAAGGACCAGAGTAGATTTATTTTGGCCTGATATAGAAAAGCTTAAGACTTAGAAAGGATCTGTTTTCCTCTCAGAGCGCATCACCACCCTGTTTCTCATTTTAACTGATTCTCTTCTATCTCTAAAAGCTTATCCAGAGCGATCTGGAGGACGACGAGGACGAGCACCTGGGTTTGGGAGGCGGACACGGCAATCTGCGCTTCAAGCACAAGCTCCCCGTGGAGCTGAAGGGACCTGATGGAGTGCACGTGGTCCACGGCAGCACAGGCACCCTCCTGACCTCAGACCTCAACAGCCTGCCGGAGGACGACCAGCGGGCTCTGGCCCGATCCCTGGAGGCGCTGAACGCCGACAACGGTTTGTACTCGGAGAGAAACGCCCGCACGGAGTCCGCTAAATCCACCCCGATGCACCGTCACAAGGATGGGGACACCCTGTCGGAGAGTCCCCTGGAGATCACAGAGTTATGACTAGCCGAGGCCTCGCTGGTTTGAGGGCAACCATGGCAGGTGTGTGTCCTTCTGCCTCTGCACAATCATCCAAGGGGGCAGGAGGAGTGTTTGTAGTCTAGGAAGAACATCGTCAGCAAAACATCCTGGAAGATGAGCTGGTTTGAATGGGTCTGATGTCAACAAAGTCCCACTGGAGCTTTAATCCACCTGCAGGAGGAAAAAGGTCTACCTGAGATTCCTGACTGAATAAGATAAGATGGACCAGACCTCTTTGCTTGGAACATTTTGCTCCAATTATGACCTTAAAATGATCTAAAAGGTGCCTCATTCTCACCAATCCTTTTTTTAAACCTTCGTCTGGACCGAAGACACTCTCACACACACACTCGGACCAGCAGATGGCCTCTAAAGGGAACCAGAGAGAGAGTAAATAATCAGGCAGATTTTAGGGTCTCGTTTTGGCAACACGATGCAGTCGGTGTACCATGGGTGTGGACGGAAACAGCAACGCTTCCAGCTTAATGGCTTGGAAAGGATTCAGGAACATTTCATTCTAATGTTGAACTTTTATTTTCTTTTTTTTAGAAGGATCACAGACTGCAAAGGGTAAAAAGCTCCTGATGAGAAGCAAATAGAAGAACTTTCTCTGGAAGGGGATTATAGCCAGAACAGAAATAAAAAGATCCTCCCTACAGTGGCTGAGTGAGAAAACAAACAGGTTTTAATGAAAAAAGGAGCTAAAATATTTATAAAAATCAAAGGAAGTTTTCTAGAAAAAAAGACGGGAACGTCCCAGTGACTTTACACTGCCATGAGAAGGGGCGGGGCAGCGGGGGGTCCAAGTCATGCTTCAAATGAGAAACTTTCATTTTTATTTTTGTATAAAAAAAAAATAAATAAAACTTGAATTAAAAGATATTTTTGAAGAAAATCTTGTCTTACCAAAACGGTGAAATGTTTGAGTATATCGTGCTATGGTGACATGTGGGTTTGTTTTCCTTGTAGAACAGCTGTTTCTGTTGAGTGATGTGTAACAGAAAAAAAAAACTTTTATATTGCTGTTTTGTATGACTTTTTTTTTTTTTTTTTATCCTCACCAGCCATGAGATCTGTGTCAGGAAATGTGGGGTTATCTGTGCTAATTAAATATGCAATGGTCTCTGATCTGTAGTGTTGCAGTAATGTGACGCCGGATGCACCACAGTTGTGAGCTAAACACTAAATATTGGAAGTGATGATGATATAAATGCAAAGTTTGACGCTTTGTCATCAAAGCTGCAGGTGAATATCAATAAAAAAATTCTAGCTCACTAGTTCAGTAGTGATGTTTAGACTTTTTGATAAACTTTCGTTACTAAGCATTTAATAAGGTTCACCTCTTAATTAAAACATCTAAAGAAAAACTTTTTAAAAGGAAAATAAGTTAAATGCAGACAGTGAGCTTTTTATTAGTGATCTGCACATGAGCAGGAAGGACAGCTTGGAAGCACTGCCACCTAGTGGTCAAAAAGTATCAAGGGTTCCTACAGCATAAGGCGAGATAAATTTAAGACTTTTTAATGCCACTTGAAATAAAAATTTAAGACCAAATTCACAAGAAAACCTGCTTGCAAAAACTTAACCCAAAGGTTTATTTTAACATAAACCACTGCACTAATGTTTCAAATTTTGAAAAGCTTCCCATACAGGAAGAAAAGCTAAAAACACACAAATGACAGATATATTTGAACAATTATTTAACTGAATTTACAAACTTTGTTTTAGCAGGAAACAAAACTATCAGTTTTAAAGCCCCAACATAACCAGTGCTAAGTCTTTTTGCAGCTATTTTTCTTTGTATGGTTTTCTTAGTATGTTTGATTTGGTGATAAGTGGAGGCGTTGCAGAGACAAGGGTGGAACTAAACTGAGAAATAGTTTCTCTGTAACTCCATTTCGACGCTTTGTGTTTTGTGCTTCGCATGTGCGACTCCACTGCCTTAATTCCCATCGTTCCATCGTTGAATCGCTTCTTGCACTAAATCCACTGAGCCTCATGTATGTTCCCTGGTTTTATCCATGGAGGAAACTCTTGGCTGGAGACAATTTTGGTTACATTTAAACTTGCTCATATTTTCCAGACAAAAAGTTAATGGTGCATCTCCCAAATGTCCCGGCCGCAACAACGATTTTATTGGTTCCGCTATCGGGACGGAACCAATAATGGCGAGCCGTTATTTTTTTCAAATAAATAAAAAAAGGTCAATTTTAATGTTTTATTTAAATTACAAAAATAAATCATAATAAAAATAATCCTATTTATGATGTTTTAAAAATTAAGACCTACGAAAGAAGAATTTTAATACCAATTAAAGCTTTATTGTGAAGAATTCAATGCCTTTTAAGACTTTTTAAGGACCCGCGGGAACCCTGGTATCACAAACACTCAAAGCATCAGATAACTCCTTAACTTTCCTTTATTGTCACATAGAAAAGTTTTCATGATGAAACCAAACCGGAACAAAGAAGATTCGGTTCTTTTCATCTCCTTTCCTCAGACTCATCGGCTTGTGGCAGCTCCTGTTGCCGCCGTGGTGCCAGTGATCGGCATTTTCTTCAACGTCCTGTTTAACTGATGAAGAAAGAGGATTTGATTTACCTTTTGTCTGTTTGTATAGATTGATATTATTAGATCAAATCCAGCCTTTTTAAAATGTTTCTACTTACTTCCTCAAACTTGTGGATCTGTCTGATGAAAAAGTCTCCGTACCGACGAGCAACTTTGGTGTCGGCGATGTGGATCATGTCCTGTTGGAGGAGTTAAACAAAAGTCACAGAACTTCAACTTGTAATGCAGAAAAAAGAGGAATAAATATCAAGCTTTCACCACAAAGATGTATTTTAGTGTTAAAGCCGATTTCAGAGTCAAGCTCACCTGCAGCTGGGATTTTTTTCACCATCTTTCAGCTTCATTAATATTTACAGAGGGGGGAAATCTTTTGCCGTCCTTACAGATTTCTTTGTTTTTGCATTTTTAAGAATAATCTGAGAACTTCCAGAAAGCAGGGAAGCATCTAGAACCAGCAGGGCTGAATTGGGCAAAAATTAGGGGAAAAAAAATCTAAAGGAGCCCATCTCTCTGGTAAAAGCTTAGCGTCCTTTCCAGGTAAACAATGAGCTGTTTAAATTATTTGTGAAAGATTGAGGAAAACAAACGTCGGGGCAGGAGATATGGAAGAAATGTATAAGGTTTTGCTAAAGCTATAATCTAAAATATGATAATTTCGATTTTATCACAATTTTCTGTGTATTTCTGAGACTAATTTCCAAGTTTGTGGTCAGTTTAAACCAGAAATGACCAAAGTCGTTCCTTGAGGGCCGCTATCCTGCTGTTTTTTTTTTTTTATGTTTAATTTAACTCTGCATTTAACCCATCCCCTTGGGAAGCAGTGGGCTGCCATTGTGCAGCACCTGGGGTTAAAGGTCATGGAGCCAGAGTGGCAGTGAGTGGGAGTGGGGCTCAAACTCAGAACCTCTGGATTCCAAGCTCTACGCCCTCACCACTAGGCCGCCAATCGCCTAACAGAAACACGCTAATATTGAGAACAGATGTTTATTTACATCCTGTTACTGTTTTCAACGTAAGCGGTGGGTTGGAGCTGATTGATCATTTGCCGTTTGTCTCAGTATTTGACAGTGATACAGCAAAGCATTGTGGGTGTTAAAACCAAAGAAGCAACACGTTTGTTTTCCTAAGGGTGAGAAAAAGGTAGGAATGTTTAAATGATATATCAGTAATTTGCCCTAACAGCAGTATTTTCTGATATTAACATCAGCACAAGTTTTCAATCTTTGTTTCAATGTTCGGGGTTTCATAATGGACTCGGCATGGAGCTGCTTTCCAACCCTAGATAGCATTTTTACTGTAGACCCAACAAAAGGTGAAGAAACAAACATCAGGAGATACAATCTGCAGATACTTGGATTGAGGGTAAGACAATGATGTCAGAACAACGATCCAAAGCAAAGAGAAAAATCCCAGCTCTGAACAGCTCAACATAATAAACTTCTGGAGTGTCCTAGTCAAAGTCTGCATTCATAAACACTAAAATGTTGCAGCATTAAAACGGTTCTGCAGGAGTGAGTGGCTCAAAGTTACTCGTTGATTTTAAACATCTGTTATGTGCCCCAGGCACATTATGATTTTTGTCCATTTCTTTTCTTTGTTTTCTTATAAACTTTAGTTGAAGGATCTTTTGTTAATATATTTTAGGATTCTTTTAGTAAATCAATTATGTTAATTTGTGGTGCTGTCGTCCGCCTATAAATAGGCTGGCCTTCAGCACGTTAGCGCGTTCCTTTCGCGTTCCTTTCCAACCTCGTTTGGACGCCACTTCCCACCTGTTTTTTTTGCTCCATTGTGCGCGGTGCGCACTTGTCTTGTCGCTGCGGCCTGCAGCGGACGTTCCAGCCTGCCATGTGGTATTTTTGTTACCTTTTTCTTACTTTTTTCTTGAGGTTTTTGGCCTGGCGGGACCGGTAGTCCTGTTTTCGATTTTTCTTTCGCTTAGGTTATTTTTTGCCTTTAGTCCGGTACCAGTAGGGGCTTCGACGGCCCTGTATAGGGTTGGCCCCCTGCTGTACCGTTTTATTCTGTTTGATCGGCCTGCCAGGTCCAACTTTCTGTTGTTACTTTGGGCTTCTTTTCTTATTTTTTTGGGGCACGGGATTTGAGGGCCGTTAACTATTTTTCTCTTCGCAGAACATCTGAAGAAGCCGAATCAAGAACAACTAAAACGGAGAGAATTTATTAATAAAATATCTTTTTTTGAACCCTCATTTTTGTCTCGTGTCCTCAAATATGTTGTGTCCTTGGTGGGCGTAACAACATCACAGTAATAAAAAACTTGATGCTGCTGTTCAACCAGTATTTCCAAAAAAGTTAAAAACAATCCACTGGACGTCGTTTCCAAGTTTGAAGACGTTTCTCTTCCCATCCAGGACGCTTTTTCAATTCAAAATGTCAGAAATAGAGTTGAGTTCCAGGCTCTTATAGAGTGGACCAAAACAAATCCTTGTTTTGGCTTAAAAACATGCAGGTTGAAACAGACGAACGGATTCACCCCTTTGGAAAAGGGTTAGTTTGGCTTCTTCTGTCAGCCTGTAATGCCCCATACCTGTCTATGTCTCTGAAAGGTGAGTTTTTAAAGGGAATTATTGGCCTGGCTGAATAGGCGAGGTCTTTTGTTCCCCTGTAAAGGAAGTTTACCGTATTTTCGCAACTATAAGGCGCATATAAACGTCTTTTTTCCCTCAAAATGTGCGGCGCCCTATAGTGCGGTGCACACTATGTGTGTTGTTACTGCGGACGTTTGAGACCGCCATGAGAACGTTGAAGGGGGAAGTGTGGGCGTGGATTGTGGATAAAAGAACAGGTATGTGCTTTATGCAGATGATGAAAGCGTGGCTGAGGGAGGTGTATGTAAGGAGACCAGGCAGTTTTTTCCACTCATCACCATCGCTGTTAATCTGGGACTCCATGCATGTCCATCTCACAGCCGATGTGAAAAACAAGGTGAAACAAATGAACGCTGTGCTTGCTGTTATTCCGGGAGGTCTGACAAAGGAACTTCAACCGCTCGACATCGGTGTGAACCGGCCGTTCAAAGTACGGCTACATTCACGCGTCTGCTGCTTCATTTTTGCTGCTTGTACCAGTTAGTTCTGACGCGCGGCTGAA